TGTTTTTTCTCATTGCCCTGTAGTACTCCATTGTGTATATAAACCACAATTTCTTTATCGATTCATCAGTTTATGGACATTTAGGCTCTTTCCATGATTTGGCTATTGTTGAGAGTGCTGCTATGAACATTGGGGTACAAGTGCCCCTATGCATCAGTACTCCTGTGTCCCTTGGATAAATTCCTAGCAGTGCTATTGCTGGGTCATAGGGTAGATCTATTTTTAATTTTCTGAGGAACCTCCACACTGCTTTCCAGAGCGGCTGCACCAATTTGCATTCCCACCAACAGTGCAAGAGGGTTCCCGTTTCTCCACATCCTCTCCAGCATCTATAGTCTCCTGATTTGTTCATTTTGGCCACTCTGACTGGCGTGAGGTGATATCTGAGTGTGGTTTTGATTTGTATTTCCCTGATAAGGAGCGACGTTGAGCATCTTTTCATGTGCCTGTTGGCCATCCGGATGTCTTCTTTAGAGAAGTGTCTATTCATGTTTTCTGCCCATTTCTTCACTGGGTTATTTGTTTTTCGGGTGTGGAGTTTGGTGAGCACTTTATAGATTTTGGATACTAGCCCTTTGTCCGATATGTCATTTGCAAATATCTTTTCCCATTCCGTTGGTTGCCTTTTAGTTTTGTTGGTTGTTTCCTTTGCTGTGCAGAAGTTTTTATATCTTCATAAGGTCCCAGTAATTCATTTTTGCTTTTAATTCCCTTGCCTTTGGGGATGTGTCGAGTAAGAGATTGCTACGGCTGAGGTCAGAGAGGTCTTTTCCTGCTTTCTCCTCTAGGGTTTGGATGGTTTCCTGTCTCACATTCAGGTCCTTTATCCATTTTGAGTTTATTTTTGTGAACGGTGTGAGAAAGTGGTCTAGTTTCAACCTTCTGCATGTTGCTGTCCAGTTCTCCCAGCACCATTTGTTAAAGAGACTGTCTTTTTTCCATTGGATGTTCTTTCCTGCTTTGTCAAAGATGAGTTGGCCATACGTTTGTGGGTCTAGTTCTGGGGCTTCTCTTCTATTCCATTGGTCTATGTGTCTGTTTTTGTGCCAGGGAGCCTCATTTTCATGCTACCAGTATTTTCAAATGAAAGGGGAATGTTGGTCTGTCCCCAGGATTTTATAGTCGGTGAGTAAAACTCTGCTGTAATCAGACCATGTGGTGATGCTAATTCATTAGCAAAATATGGCATAATTATTTTAGTGTTTATTAAAAACATCTGTTTAAAAATTTTTTTAATATTTTGCTTTTTGGTTTTTTTTGAGAGAGCATGAGCATGAGCAGGGGAGGGGCAGAGAGAAAGGGAAAGAGAGGGAATCCCAAGCAGGCTCTGTCAGCGCAGAGCCTGATGCAGGGCTCAATCCCACTGAGTCACTTGAGTGACTGACTGACTGAGCCTTCCAGGTGCCCTTAAAATAATGTATCTTTATCAAATATTAGAAATCTCGACATTTTATATGTCAGAATTTCAAAAATTGCATAAAATTTCATGTTTAAGTAAATTGGTATGTCGTACTGGGTAAGAACTGGAGTTAAAACCACTCTAGTCAGTGGGTGATTGAGAATAAATAAATCTTTAAGAGAATAAGATTTTTATAGTAAAAGTGAGTATTTAACTCTAGAATTTACTTTGTAAAATGTCACCTGGATCTGTGTTTCCAAAAGGATTAGTAGCTTTTTAAATGATCTTTGTGACCATAATTTCCAGGCTTTTTAAAAATTTTGTGAATTTAAGATAAATATGAGATTTTTTCTGATGAGCAAGTCTGGTGCAACGTTTGCTTAGAATATGACAATTTGCATTAAGGATATTGTGCAAAGAATTAATATTCTTAACAATATATGCCTTTTTTTCTGAGTTAAAACAGTGTTTCATAAATTTTTTAGAGTGTGGGAACTCTTCTTAATGTTTCATGTTATGGACATATTAGTACATATACTGAAAAATTTGGATCCTACTCTATCCTGGTATTTTTATTTAACACTAATCTTTAGTATTTTGTCCTGTTATTAGCCCTCAAAAATGTGATTTTTTTTTAATTGTGTGGATATATCATAAGCCATTTTTGTATTCAAATTATTCCTAATTTTTCACTATTATAATTAATGCTTTGAAGCAGATACTTGTATATAAAATATCGGCATCTGCTCTGAAAATTTCCTTGGGATAAATTCTCAAGGTGAAGTTAGTTAAGACAAGTGGCCTGGTGTTCATGGCTCACTTGCTCCCCGTGAAAGCCGCATGGTCTTCTGCTCTGATCCGAATTTCTGAGAGTTCTCTTTGCCCACACAACTGAAGACATGAATTAGCAGTTCGTTACATTTTTGTTAATTTGATAGGTAGAAAATGATGGCGTGTCGTTGTCTTAGTGCCTTAACAGTCTCTATTTGCCTTCTGTCTTTTCTGTCCCTTGTCACTGTTGTTTGTACTTAGCAGAATAGCGAATTTCTGTAATAGATATTTAAATAAGTACATTAAATGCTGTGACAGATACAGGGCTTGTGAATGTTTACGTATATTCATGTTGACACTCTAGGAGTTTTTAATGTGCTGTCCTTTTAAGAAAACTGATACACTGGGTGATAAAAAACTTTAGTATTGTAACAAAATCATTGTTTCATGAAAACTTCTTGATAGTACGTGGAAAACATTTTACTAAATGAAATCTGAATGTGCTTAGAGATTACAATAATACTTTTTGAGTTATTTTGAAATGTATTATATAAAATCATTATAATGAGGTTCTTTCCCTCTAATAAGTCTTTCTCATGTCAAAATCTGTCATTTGGCATTTTTCAGTGCGGTCAAGGTAGATTGTTTAAATATTAATTGTAACCCCGTGAAGACTGTGATTGATGATCTCATCCAGAAGTTATTTGATACGCTTGTTCTTTCTTTGAAGAAGTGCATCCAGGGTAAAGACGCTTTTTGATTTTCGTTTTAACTTAATGTTATATACAAAGGCATGTACTTTGATAGTTATGAAATGTGAATCCCAGTGATTAAAATCGACCAAGCTGGAAAGTATCATGAAATGAAATGTGCTTCAAATGGCAATTTTCATAACGTGGGAAAGCCCATGCCCAACTGTTAAGAGTCTAAAAGTGGAGGCGGTTTTGCTGTTTACAATATGGGCCAGTATCAGTTTGGTGCCTGTAGTACTGAGGAAGGTAGGCGGTTCTGCCATCATGTATTTCTTCTCATCTTTTCAGTTACTAAGATTTTCCAAAATTCTGCACTGTGTCTTTTTCCATGAAACTGGGATGCTTTAGCATATTAGCTAAAGGATGGGAAAGGTTACCAATTTTGAATGAAATATACTAAGAATGAGTACATTTTAACTTTGTCAAAATTTTGAGGTATAACATAAAACAACTAGACTTATATGGTGCATTTCTTTGCTTATTCTGTATTTTAAAATTCTGTCGTGTGACCAAGTAATAATTTTAGATTTAACGTATGCCATATGGTGAGTACTTCCAATGCTCTTTGATTTTAAAATGATGCAGCGAAATATTTTTAGTGATAATAACATTCTATGTCACTGTTACCTGTTCAGCTCACTTACATGAAATTGATGCATTTGTAACCGAGGCTATGGACATCTTAACAGTTATGCCCCAGTCTGTGGAAGAGATTGGCGATGCAAATTTGCAATACAGTAGGCTCCAACAGCGGAAACCAGAGGTGAGCATCGCCAAGTAAAGTTATTGATTGATTTTTATTGGACTGGAATGTTTCAATCAGGTAATTTTATGTGACCGTTGAGAAACATCATATAATTTCAGTATTGTAAGGAAGTCCACATAATCTGGCCCCATCACTGAGCTCATGGTTGGACTCTGGTGCTATGTTGGTGCAGTGAAACAGTCTGAGTCAGAGTTAATATTCAGGAGTAGGTACAGTCTGCTAGGATGTGGCACATCTGAGTCAGACTAAACTTAGTAATTCATGCTGTTCCCTCCGGGGTTGTAACCTGAAGGGTGCGGTTTGAGCTGAGTTAGGAATACACACGTTCACACACGTACACACACACTTGCATATGGAGTTATTATATTATGGATGGTTTTAACTAAGTTTAGAAGCAGCAGCAGCAAGAGACATAACTCAGATCACAAGAGAAACTTTGATGTGTCCTTCCTGCGTCATAGACTTCATATGATAAAGCTCACTGAGAGGTGAAATCGTATGCTTTTGTGGCATATTCCACAGCGAGGGTTAGAGAGGAGTAAATGTGTGTCCGAGCTGCTGGGCTTGGGCCCCTGGAAAGCTGATGGTAGCATTTCCTGGGAATGTGGGTGGCTGGAGGGGGAAGGTGTCTGGAGACTGGAAGTGGTGGGGGGGTTGGGACGTCAGATGGAAGTTGAGTGAGGAATAGGGACTTCAGAGTGGAGACTATGTTTATTAATTGGATATAAATTTAAAAGTCATCTCTATGGGGCGCCTGGGTGGCGCAGTCGGTTAAGCGTCCGACTTCAGCCAGGTCACGATCTCGCGGTCCGTGGGTTCGAGCCCCGCGTCGGGCTCTGGGCTGATGGCTCAGAGCCTGGAGCCTGTTTCCGATTCTGTGTCTCCCTCTCTCTCTGTCCCTCCCCGTTCATGCTCTGTCTCTCTCTGTCCCAAAAATAAATAAACGTTGAAAAAAAAAAAAAAGTCATCTCTCCATGCATGAACTGTGAAGCCAGGGGATTGGATGAGACCATGTGGTTGATGGCGGACCATGGAGGGTGCAGAGCAGGGTAGGACATCCCAGCATTTACTGTGGGGATGTCAGAGGAGATGGCAGAGGACCCTGTGAGTGAAGCGAGAGGAGAGACAGAAAAGGTACCCTCGTAGAAACTAGGCGGAGAAACAGAGACGCTGTGCTGTTCCGCCCGCGAGGCGGGAAGTGGCAGCGGTGGTAGGAAGAGTCCCTGTCACTCGAGCCACAGTCAGGGGCCTGGGGCCGACCCGTGGGTGCGGGGGAGTCACGCTGCCGGGTTTGAAGCAGCAGGGGCCATACAGAATCGGGCTGTGATGTCTCTCGGGTGCCGTGTGGACTTGCAGGGGAGGACAGGAGGGCCCCGCCCGGGAGTCTTCTCAGGCTAATCTGGGTTCTGTCCACGTGTGGAAACCACAACCTGACTCTTCGTTTCTGCCTTCTCTGGCCTTCCTAGTACATCATGACTCAGTTTCACTTTCTCCATTGTCCTTTTCTTAAATACTTTGTTTGTGACTGTTCCTTCTGTTCCTGGAATAGTTAGTTTATTTCTGTTATGACCTAATCCCTAATCTTCATTCTTTGAGAAGCCTCCTTCTAACAGTTCCCTGTGAGTAGAAGATTTCTAATAAGAACTTCACTTGGAATAGTTAGAGCATTGTCTTTACAGACTCACAGGTTCCTTCAGTCCTTGTGACCATCTTTAGGATCCTTTTAACCTCTTTGGTAGAGTGCCATAGTTGAGTTTGTATATAGTAATAAGTAAGTATTAGGAACTTCATGTCCAGGAATTTAACAAATTATTTAGAACAGAAACCTTGATTTTTAAAACAGCAAGAACTGGTTAGAATAGAATCTTTTTTAAAATTTTTACTTATTTTTTATTTTAATTTTTTGGAGAGAGAGAGAGAGAGTACAAGTTAGCGAGGGGCAGAGAGCAAGGGAGAGAGAAAAGTGGGGCTCACCCGATGGGGGGCCATGCTCACCTGAGGCAGGGCTGGAACTCACAATCCATGAGATCATGACCTGAGCTGCAGTCAGATGCTTAACCAACTGAGCCACCCAGGCGCCACTTACTTTTTTTTTTTTAAGTTTATTTATTTATTTTGAGAGAGAGAGGGAGGGAGAAAAGAAGAGAGAGAATCCCAAGCAGACTCTTGCTGTCAGCATGGAGCCTGATGCATGGGCTCCAACCAATGAACTGTGAGCCTATGACCTGAGCTGAAATCAAGAGTCGGACACTTAACCGATTGAGCCACCCAGACACCCCTAAAATAAATGGAATCTTGCAAGAAATTTGATAAAATAGGTTGTTTTTTTTATGTTGTTATTTCTTCAACCTTTAGATTTTGCCCTTATTCCAAGAAGCTGAAGATAAAAACAGACTTTTACGAACTGTGGCAGGTGGAGGTTTGGAAACAATTAGCAATCTGAAGGCTAAGTGGGATAAATTTGAGTTGATGATGGAAAGTCACCAACTTATGATTAAAGATCAGGTAAGAACCTTTTAGTCATTGTGTTAACATGGAAACTTGATTTTTTTCTCACTGAAGATTCTGGCTTATCTTTATTCCATTGGAGCTCAGGTAGGTAGGAATTTTATATTGTGAATGAAATTGGCCTCCCTATTTCCGTACCGTAAAACGCTTTATTTAAATGATCATTTCCCGTACTTTGTCTTTATTTCCTACCATATGGAGAATTCAGGTAATCGTATTTTTGGTTTTCCTTATGAGTGAATATGTTTGCCTGCTATGTATGGTGACTTTTGAGGGGACACCTGGTAGTTAAACACACCTGTTGTACTCTCCTGCGTGGACACTGGGACACGCCTCCTCGGTTATGCAGCTCCCTGCTGGTGTGGCACAGCTGGTGGTCATTGGCCAAGCGTGTCTTATCACATCAACTTTGCTGATAGTTGTGGTGGATGCTGCTGATGACATGAATGAGTTTTTGTTTTTTTTTTAATGTTTTATTTATTTTTTGAGTGAGAGAGTGAGAGAGAGTGAGAGAGAGAGAGCATGGGAAGGAGCAGAGAGAGAAGGAGACCAAATCTTGAGCAGGCTCCAGGCTCCAAGCTATCAGCACAGAGCCCGATGGGGGGCTCGAACTCATGGATTGTGGGATCATGACCTGAGTCGAAGTTGGACGCTCAACCAACTGAGCCACCCAGGTGCCCCTGACACGAATGAGTTTTTAATGATGATGCAGGCAGTATATCTCTCGTTACTGAATATTTATAGTCTGATTCTATGTTTTTGACATCAAAATTTTATTGTACTTGAAGTCAGTAATTGAAAACAATCTTTTGAAAAACTTGTTTTGGTGGTTTTTCACCTCTACCTAGAAAGTGTTAGAAATAAAATGTGAAAATAAAGTGAGATTTTACTATAAACTGAATTACATAAACTCTTTTGGCTCATAGATCGAAGTGATGAAAGGGAACGTTCAGTCGCGTCTTCAGATCTATTACCAAGAATTGGACAAATTTAAAGCTCGTTGGGACCAACTAAAGCCTGGTGACGATATTATTGAAACTGGCCCACAAAGTACTCTTGATAAAAGCGCCAAGTCAATAAAAGAGAAAAAGATTGAATTTGATGATCTTGAAGTCATAAGGAAAAAGCTGGTGTATGTTTTTTCTTTAAAATGGATAGTAGACATTTTGATTTATATTTCTCTGTATTAGGCCATAGGCTTTCTTGTTATCTGTTTGTCTTAATGTTTTTCTATATAAACTTCTGAAGTTTTAAAAATGATAATTCTAAGTGCTCATGCTACTACTTTCTTAGTTGTGGGTGGAGTCTATAAGGACTTTAAAGGAAGCAAATTTCTGGTTAGGCTTAGAAACAGAACAGAAAATTAAGTTTACTTAGAAGTTACATTGGGAGTTGGAATACTTGTTTTCTGTGATTTCATTGTATTTAAAAATGAGGCCTATAAAATTAATGGAAAATTGCTATCAGAGACCCGGAGAAGAAAAATGAACCTACAACAATAATATGAGGTTTCCAAGGAAAAAAACCTGTTGCTTTATGTTACAAGTATTAAGGTTAAGTAAGCAATGTTTCAGGTGTCGTCTCTTAGGTAAATGCTTCCATAAGATAGTGGTCTTCATGGGTGAGTGAAGGGTTTAGTACCAATTAGATGAAGGGTATCTTATATTCTAGAATCTAATCCTTGGGTATTAATATTAATGCGATCTTTTATCAGTCCATGATATATGTCATTTTGATAATATGTCATATTATCATTTATGACGTATGACAGACATAAAATACAGATGTTATCAATTCCACTTTGACTTCTTTGGAGAAATACATATTTATGAATTTAAAAGAGGTTATACTTAAGTAGTTAAAGTAAAATTCTTATGCAGTCCCCCACTGTCTACCTTCACTATCAAATATGCACACACACACACACACACACACACACAGGGAATGCAGTTAAATAAACTTAGTGATATTTGACAGTTTTTTAAAATCTATGATATTTCACTCTTTGTTTCCGTAGTGATGATTGCCGTCATTTTGGCCTAGAAGAGCCCAGCTTGTCTTTGGCAGATAGCATCTCCAAGGACATTGAGAGCTGTGCACAAATTTGGGCCCTTTATGAAGAGTTTCAGCAGAGGCTTGAAGAAATGGCCAATGAAGATTGGATTACTTTTCGGTTTGATTCATAAACACTATTTAGATTCTTATAATTTGGTAGTGTTTTTTGGGAGGTACATTTTGAGGTGTATTCCTGGTCTCTTACAGGACTAAGACATATCTGTTTGAAGAATTTTTGATGAATTGGCATGACAGATTAAGAAAAGTTGAAGAACATTCGGTTATGACAGTGAAATTACAATCAGAAGTTGACAAATACAAAGTAAGATGGTTTTACTTTACTAATTTAGAATGAGGTTTGCACCTTTCACGTGTCTTTTATGCAGCTGAGTGAGCTGTACTTTTAGTTTCTGATTTTCAGTGACTCCGTTACATGAACACACTAGGAGGTATGGAGTAAACCATAGAAATTATTGATCTTTCTGCTACTCTTTTGAAAAGTTAGAACTAAGAAATTTATGGTTAAAGTTAAAAATTGGAGTGTTTATACCTCTTAGAGCAGTTTAGGATCTGAGTCATTTAGCATATTTAGGATATAGGTTATTTCCTAAAATAATAAAGATAGAAACATTTTAGGTCATGTCTTCAAATCTGTCAAGCTACAGCAGGAAGTTTGCATGTACCCACAGTAGTGTTTAATAAAAAATCATACACAATTCTGTTTGAGAATTTGATTTCAAGTTTGTTAAATAAGATAATAGAGTAATTAACATTTTATAACTACTCATTAAAGGAAATAACAGTTTGCATTTTGACATATATTCTTGTGTGTACGTGTGTCTTTTTCTCTTTTAACAGACCGTAATTCCTATCTTGAAATATGTGAGAGGGGAGTGTCTTTCTCCAGATCACTGGCTTGACCTTTTTCGTCTGCTTGGCCTTCCTCGGGGGACTAGCCTGGAGAAATTAATGTTTGGTGACCTGCTCAGAGTAGCTGATACAATTGTTGCCAAAGCTTCAGACCTTAAAGTAAGAATCACTTGTATAAATATCTCATGAATATGACCTTTGTTAACAGATGGTTTTGCTTTGTGTTTTATGTAAAAAAAACAGCAAAACTTTTTTTTTCTCTTAATATAGTGACAATGTTCCGCTAGTCCATTATTCTTTCTTTAGTAACACATCTGAATCTGTATAGGAGTATAGAAGCAGCGTAAACCCCTTCCTTGAGAGAAAGAAGACAATATGAAATAAAAAAAAGTAATCTTGGTTTAAGAAGGGAGTCAGCTTCGGGGCGCCTGGGTGGCTCAGTCGGGTGAGCGTCCAACTTCGGCTCAGGTCATGATCTCACAGTTCGTGGGTTTGAGCCCCACATCGGGCTCTGTGCTGATGGCTCAGAGCCTGAGGCTGCTTCAGATTCTATGTCTCCCTCTCTCTGCCCCTCCCCCACTCGTGCCATGTCTCTCTCAAAAATAAATAAACATGAAAAAAAATTTGTTTTTTGAAAAAAAGAAGGGAGTCAGCTTTAATCGAAAAGCAAACAAATACAAATCATTTTATATAAAATACATTTAAAATCATGGGGTGTATTATAAATACAAGCTAAGAGATAGCAAAATCCAGAGAGCTAAACCAAGAACCAGTTTGCAAATCAGGGTTAGGAGAGGTCTGTGGTACAAGGAGAAATGGTACCGCCTTCGGCCGTCTTAAGTGGCAGACTCTGTGTGTTGTGATCTGCCCGTTTGATGTAAAAATAAAAGGACTCTTGATGTCACATTGTTTTTTTCCTATTCAATATGTTCACCTTTGTGTTTGTTCAGAACCCTGGAGCCTGTTAGGTAATTGTGAGATCATAAAGCACAGTTGCTGTAGAAGATGGTTACTAACCACTTGAGCTGCCGCAGAAGTTAAATTTAAGTTACAGTATCATTATTGAGGGCTGCAGAATTTTAAATAAGCCTGTTTTTGTGTTTTGCAATGGATTCTTGATTTTTCTTTTTTTAGAAGTAAAAAGCTTATGGCAGATCTTTAATATCGTACTTTGACTATGTGAGATTGGATACTTTGTATCTGATATCTCCTGATACATTAGCTAGTGATTCTCTTGGATAACATGTAAAATATATTCACTTACTTTTTCCTTTATTGTGAAAAGCCAAATAAAAATATATTGTGTTATAAAATAAACATTGTATGGCTTATTTATAAAATTAATGTGGAAATAATAAATATGAATATTTTATGTTAAATAGGATTTAAACAGTCGGGCACAAGGTGAAGTTACGATCAGAGAAGCTTTACGTGAACTTGATCTTTGGGGAGTTGGAGCGGTATTTACATTGATTGATTATGAAGACAGCCAGAGTCGAACTATCAAGCTGATTAAAGACTGGAAAGACATCGTAAATCAAGTTGGAGATAATAGATGTCTTCTTCAGTCCTTAAAGGATTCTCCTTATTATAAGGGATTTGAAGATAAAGTGTCCATTTGGGAAAGAAAACTTGCAGAATTAGATGAATACCTGCAGAATTTAAACCATATTCAGAGGAAGTGGGTGTATTTGGAGCCCATATTTGGCCGTGGAGCATTGCCGAAAGAGCAGACACGCTTCAGCAGGGTTGATGAAGATTTTCGGTGAGCACGGCTACGTGGGGCAGAGACACACGCAGCAGCTTTTTATTCGTGTTGGGAGGTGCTTAACACGAGCCGATTACTTTTATGTTATGAGTGTCACCTGTGTCTTCAACCTCTTTCTCTTTTGGATCCTTGTGAGGGCTCTTTTCTCTCATCCAGCCATTTGCTTCTTGAACCGTGTTGATCTGACCTCTGTGTTTACCTCGTGACCTGATACTAACAGTAATGTTACTACAGTAGGAGAGGAATCATAATAGTACTAACATGTAGCTACTATTGCCAAAAGTAACACATTATTCTCCTGTTGTAAATTTGATGGGCATTTTTCGCGCCTCATTTTACTTCATCTCTGACAAGTATTTAAAAGCATCGAGCATTTCTTGTTGGAGAGTTTTTTCCCTTGGCTTCCGGGGTACTGCAGGTGGTTTTCTGGCCATCCGTCCGGGTCCCCTTCTAGTTTCTAGTCCTCAGGCCTCTCTGAACATCCAGCTGTGGACACTCCGCGGGATTTCGGTGCCGGGTCTCCTGTCACTGTGTCACGCTCCACGGGCGGTCTCATCCCCTCTTCTGTCCTTGTCCACCTGTCGAGCCCTCCTTCTCTCCTGAGCCCCAGTGGTGTGGACACCCTCACTGTGCCAAAAGCAGGTTCACAAGCTTACCCTTCAGCTCAGGTCCTCTTCCCTGTGTCTTTCTCGATAACTGACTGCTCAGAGTGGAATCATAGGGGTATTTGACCTCCCCCTGTACCTCCAAATCCAGTAGGTCACTGCGTTTGTTGATTCTGACCTACTTCATGTCTTTATGCCTCTCCTGGTTTGCCTTTATTCTGAGCTACTTTTGTCGTCACTCCCTGGGTCCGTGGCCTCACTTGGCTTTGTGCTCATCCTCAGCAGTGAGCCTCGTGTGTGACCGCCAGCGTGGTCTTGTGCTGGTGACTTGTTGTGGCCCGTTTCCTCGAATCCTTTAGTAAACGTGTAGAGAGGTTTCCTGTTGTTCTGAGGATAGAGCATAGCCTCTCCTTGTCCGTTTCTGCAGCCTGCTCTTGTGCGTTCTCTGTTCGCTTTGGGGACGCCAGCCTTGACTTGCTCCAGCATTTCGAGCCCTTCCCAGGATCTTTGTCAGAAGGTGCTCCCCTCCTGCTCACTGATGTCTTCCTTTGTTTTTTTTTTTTTTTTTTTAACTTTTTTTTCAACGTTTATTTATTTTTGGGACAGAGAGACAGCATGAACGGGGGAGGGGCAGAGAGAGAGGGAGACACAGAATCGGAAACAGGCTCCAGGCTCTGAGCCATCAGCCCAGAGCCCGACGCGGGGCTCGAACTCCCGGACCGCGAGATCGTGACCTGGCTGAAGTCGACGCTTAACTGACTGCGCCACCCAGGCGCCCCAACTGATGTCTTCTTTCTATTCACCATGCAGACTCAGCCTCAGTCACTTTCTCACAGATTGCCCCGTTAGCTGCTTTAAAATACATTGTACTTTTCCTCATTAGTATATATCAATATTTTATTTAAATAATTTGAGAAAATATTTAATATCTTTCTCACTGAACCATTGTCTTTATGAGATGGGGCTAAATATTTGTTTAGAGAATGAACGAAATAAGCGAATTTGCAACATGGGAGGTTAAGAATGGTAATGGAGGGCACCTGGTGGGCTCATTCGGTGGAGCATGCAACTCTTGATCTCCAGGTCATGAGTTCGAGCCCCATGTTGGACGTAGAGCTTCCTTACAGGAGAAAAAATAATTAAAAAATGGTAATGGGACATTACTAATTTTTGCCATTATTTCTTAGAAGAAACACAGTGGTGTTTTGCTTTTATAGTAGCGTTACCTCTTTAAGTAGATAAAAAATAAATGTCTCAGTATTTCTCTTTCAGTCAAAAACTGTTAAAATGGAGGTAAAAATAACTTTTTTTTCTTCTGTAGATCGATAATGAGTGACATCAAGAAAGACAATAGAGTCACAACATTAACGACTCACGCAGGAATCAGAAATTCGCTGCTAACCATACTCGATCAACTTCAAAGATGTCAGAAATCATTGAATGAATTTTTAGAGGCATGTTCTTTAAAAATATTTATGTAAGAAGTTGTAAAGTACTTTATTAGTTATTTGAAAAGATAAGGCTATTCTTTTTGTTGTTATCAGGAAAAACGCTCAACGTTTCCAAGGTTTTATTTCATCGGTGACGATGACCTGTTGGAGATCCTGGGCCAGTCTACTAGCCCGTCAGTGATTCAGTCTCACCTCAGAAAGCTGTTCGCCGGTAAGAGCCAACACTCCTTCAACAGGTCCAGCGTTTCACGTACCTTCCAGGCATAATGTTAGGCTCTGACGTAGACTACTGAATAAAATGCCTGTCCTGCCCTCGGGAGGGATTTATATCTTGGTGGGACAGGCAGCCTCACGAGTTGGCCGATCGATGGCCGTGGCTGCGGCCGACAGGTATGTGCTGTCGTGGCTCGTCTGTGGGACCCGTCGCTCACGTCTGCGGCATCTCAAGGCTGACATCTAAGGGTGGATCTGAAGAAGGCGTCGGTCTCAGCTGGAAGAAAGGTGTGAGGGCAGAAGGAATTGGCCGTGCGGAGGCCTGGGAGTGATGGGGAACGTGCCTCTTCATTGTCGAGCTGAAGGTTTCCTGCCTGACGTACAGGTGGAGGCACCCAGAAGGCGGTTCCTGAGAACAGAGAGGTCTGGGACGGGGGTGGACAGTCGGGGGTCCACTGTGCACGGGTAGTGGTTAAGCTGTGGGACTCGGTGAGGTTACCTGGTGACAGGCGTACGGTGATGGGACCCCGGGCTCCAGCAGTGCTGTCACTGTAGGCAGGTTATTGAATACTGAAGGTCTGCCAAAGAAATAATGATTATTTTCTCAAAGCATTCCATTTGTGGGAAGAGAGCTGTGTTTTTCAAAATAACAAGAAAAAACTTTCATCGTGATCTTCACTTCTGATTAGGTATCAGTGAACTACACGCCCACAAGCCAAATCCGGCTCACAGCCTGATTTATTTTATTTTATTATTTTACTATTTTATTATTTGTAACGTTTACTTACTTTTCGAGTGGGGGGCAGAGGATCTGAAGCAGGCTTCAAGCTCTACGCTGACCGCAGAGAGCCTGACGCGAGGCTCGAACCCATGCACCATGAGATCATCACCTGAGCCGAAGTCGGACCCCCAACCGACTGAGCCCCCCAGACACCCTCACAGCCGGATAGTTGAAAGTAGAGTTTCGTTGGAACACGGCCATGCCCGTCGTGGTCCAGAGCCACTTTTGTGCTGCAAGTGGAGAGCAGAGAAGTTGCCCCAGGGAGGGCAGAGCTGTGAAAACCTAATGTATTGAGTTTCTGGTGCTTCACAGAAGCATTTACTCACCAGTGTATGTGTGAAGCTTTCAGGTCCTTTATCTCAGCTGTGATTTGGGCTGTGGGAGGCTTGGAGAGACCTCTTGGCATCAGCAGGCTTGCATCCAAACTCTGCCTCCACTCTCTCAGTGTCATCTCTTACTGTCATTTTTCTAAAATGTTTATTAATTTTTGAGAGAGAGAGAGACAGAGCGTGAGCAGAGGAGGGGCAGAGAGAGAGGGAGACACAGAATCTGAAGCAGGCTCCAGGCTCTGAGCTGCCAGCACAGAGCCCAACATGGGGCTCGAACCCACGAACCGTGAGATCATGACCTGAGCCGAAGTCGGATGCTCAACCGACTGAGCCCCCAAGGTGCCCCTTGTTTCCTATTTTAAATTGGAAAGAATAACTTAGAGGGTTTTTTCTAAGATCAAAATTGGGTAATGTATTTAAGCTTTTGTTGTATACTGTTAAATAAAGTGTACAAAGCTGGGGGAGGGAAGTCCCATTTGCCCTCCCTCTTTCTTTTGTCTCTTGTATCATGTTAGTAGAGTTAGCAGTATATGTTCTTTTCTTTTTTTAATGTTCATTTATTTATTTTGAGAGAGCACACATGCATGTGAATCGGGGAGGGGCAGACAGAGAGGGAGAGAGAATCCCAAGCAGGTTCTGCACTGTCAGTGTGGGGCCCTATGTGGGGCTCGAACTCACAAACTGTGAGATCATGGCCTCGGCCGAAACCAAGAGTCAGATGCTTAACTGACTGAGCCCACATGCGCCCAGTCAGTGTGTGTTCTTATGCACCTGTTTGTGTCTGGCCTGTTGTGCTCATTAGAATGGTTGGGAGGTCCCTGCAGGTACGTTTTGTTCCTTTTCATCACGGAGTAGTTTTCCAGTGTTGGAGTGTGTCAGCTGTTCGTTCACTGGCTGGTGGGCATTTGGGGGCATTTGGGTTGTTGTCAATTTTTGGTTAGGAGAAGCCGTTCTGTTGTATAGGGGAATTAATATAATTGTCATACGTAATGCATATTATCAGGTGTATATTGTGCATTCTGTGGTAATGATGTGTCTTGTTTAATAATGATATCTTTAATCTTTGTGCATTTCAACTGTTCTTTTATATTATAGGTATTAACAGCGTGTGCTTTGATGAAGAATCAAAACATATAACTGCAATGAAATCTTTAGAGGGAGAAGTTGTACCTTTTAAAAATAAAGTTTTAATTTCAAATAATGTAGAGGTAAGTAATTCTTTTTCAACTATGAAAATAAAAAGAATTAACTGTATGAACTTTGTATCAAAAATAAATTAGTCGATTTGTAGGGTAAACTTTGGCCATTTAGGAAGCTCCTCTTGTGTCTTAAAAAATAACAGGGCACCTGAGTGGCTCATTTGGTTAAGTGCCCGACTCTTGACTGGGCTCAGGCCATGATCTCACGGTTCATGAGATCGAACCTCATGCCGGGCTGTGTGCTGACAAGACTGGCTATTAATCTGAGCTCCTCAATTTACTAGCTGTGTGACTTAGAATCACAACTTTTCTGTCTATCAGATACTCATCTTACTATATGTTGCAAAGCCTGTTTATTAAAAATATGGCTTTATACCATATAGTGTTTGGAACATTAGTATTCAACAGGTACTTGTATAAGATGAGTTTTTTCAAGAGGTGGAATTAAAATTTCTTCTTGACTCTCACGCTCCCAAAATGTGTTGTATGAGATGATTGTTTTATAAGATGATTTAGGTAAGCCTGAAACTAATGCATTTATGGAACGACTGTTGACTACTTGGCCCTGGAGCACTGGACGCAAACTGGGACATCTGACTGGTGTGCAGCGAATGCCAGACAGTGGTGGATTGCATCATATTGAACTGTAATCTTCACATTCCACAATTATCTTCAAACTTGCAGTTGGGGCCCATGGCTTATCCCACGCTTAGCCGTATAGTTCAGCGACATGCCCGTTCCTGGTTAAGGCTCAGCATTTTATCGGATGTTGATTACACAAATGAGGTGATTGAAAGCACATGCTTTGGGGCGTCTGGGTGGCGCAGTCGGTTAAGCGTCCGACTTCAACCAGGTCACGATCTGGCGGTCCGTGAGTTCGAGCCCCGCGTCGGGCTCTGGGCTGATGGCTCGGAGCCTGGAGCCTGTTTCCGATTCTGTGTCTCCCTGTCTCTCTGCCCCTCCCCCGTTCATGCTCTGTCTCTCTCTGTTCCAAAAATAAATAAACGTTGAAAAAAAATTTTTTTTAAAAAAGAAAGCACATGCTTGTTAGGTAGCTCCCATGTTTGTGCTTGGTAAAGAGGTGTGTTTCTGTTGTTTGCCCTTCCTCCCTCCCTCCCTCCCTCCCTCCCTCCCTCCCTTCCTTCCTTCCTTCCTGTTTATTTCAAGAGAATGACAGAAAGAGCACAAGCAGGGAAGGGACAGAGAGAGGGAAAGAGAACCCCAAGTGGGCTCTGTGCCATCAGCGCAAAGCCTGACATGGGGATCGAGCCCATGAGCTGTGAGATCAAGACCTGAGTTAAAATTAAGAGTTGGATGCTTGAGTGACTGAGCCACCCAGGCGCCCCTGTTGTTGTTGTGTTGGGACCAGATGCATGGAGAGAGGAAGAGCTTCAGCAGGAGCCGCTGGCCAGAGCAGGTTTGCCAGCAGAGGAATGGTGGGGTCTGGAAGCCCTGACTGTGATGAGCAGAGCTGTTGGTACCCTGGAGAGTGCTCTAAAGATAAAAAAGTCTAGAACTTTAAGTCTAGAACTTAGAGCTACTTAGCATTGTAGATTTTGTACTCCTTTTATTGCGCATATAGTTTCTTAAAGTCATCAATAAACATTCACTGCTATTTTTATCAGTCTTTTTATGTTACCTTCCATTACCTTTTATTATTTTACCTACAATCAAGTGAAAAAAATGTGTTATTTTGACTCGGAAACAAAATTAGTTTTGTGTAAAGGAGCAGCGTAGCTCCCTGAGTAATAGACATCACCCTAATGATGCATTTCCTGTTTACATCACAGCCTTCTGAACATGGGCTCACCAGGAGAGCCTGAGCCCCGACACTTAGCCAGTCACTGTGGCCCTGATTTCCTGGCCTATCTAGCTTGATTTCTTAGAATGATGAAACCATGGGGTTATGTTGCTCGTAGTACCGTCATTTGTAGAGTTGATGATAGTGGCTGACTACACTTGTATGGGTTTTCATGCTTAACCATGATCTTGATTTCTTCCAATTATTTAAATCTTTCATTAATAAAATAAGTATGTCCTGTAAGACGATTGTGGGAGTATGAGGGGCAGTAAGAAATTGTAATCCTGCTTCCTGAAATAAATGAATAGGGTCACTCAACAGGGTAGGTGTTTGTTTTACGACTGCGTTTGTCATTGGTAATTCTGTTTCCAGACCTGGTTAAATGGTTTAGCCATGGAAATGAAGCAGACCTTGAAACAGTTGTTGGCGGAATGTGTCACTGCTGCACGCAGTCCTCCAGGTGCCGTGGACCCGTCCTTGTTCCCCTCACAGGTAAGCGGCCTCTGTCTGGGGCGGAGGGAGGCCAGGGCGTCACACGGCAGGCGGCTCTTCATCCGGCGGTTCGCACCGACCAGCTGCCTCGCTTCTGTGTGTCCGCTCCGGCAGCTGTGAGGTGTGCCGGACGAGCTGCTTGGCGGCCACGTTCTCTTACAGCCCCGTCAGCTTGCTGTCACTCAGCTGCCTTCACGCCGAAGGCATGCCGAGAGCCCAGCAGCACGGGCCGGTGGGGCATGAAGCGGGAGGGGGGTCAGTCACGTGGGAGTGCTCTGGTTCCCGAAGATTAGCCCGTCGTTGATGGAGAGGCCCGGAACCCGCAACACTGTCCCTGCTGCTCCCGTGGGATCATCCTGGAGACGGGGCTGGCAGGAGGTGGGCGGGGTGTCGGTGCAGGTCAGAGATCCGGCCTGGGCCCTGAGCCAGAGTGCCGGCCGGCAGCTGGGAGCCAGGGTGCGCACGCTCGCTGGTCACAAGAACGCCCACCTGAAACACCAGCCGTGGATCTGCACCGTGTGAAACGTGTTCCAGGTCTCACCCGAGCATAGTGCTAAGACCCGCGCTCAGTGCCCTGCGTCGTTCAGGGCTTGCTTCCTGGCTGGCTGGGGCTCAGCCTCCAAGCGAAGGGCACCCGGGACTTACTTCTTGGGGCCTGTGAAGGGCGGGCCTTGAGGTGTTCTCTGATCTCTCACAGGAAAATCCACCCTGCTCAGCGTTGGTTTCTTTCCACGCTAAAGCATGTGGTAGCTTTGGCGCAAGTTTCATGTTGGTTCTTTTAAAGCGTGAGACCTTAGATAGGAATCTTGGAACATTGTAGATTCTTAGCCATTTTATCTTTCATTCTTTGGTGCTTTCTAGCCTTTTGAGTCAAACTAAAATATGTTTTAAAAATTCTCGTTAAGCTCTTAGAGAAAAGTAAGAGTAATCAGCAACGAATAATAATGCCGTTGCAAAGTCAAAGGTAAGCTGCTGTGTTACTACTGAAAATGCTCCCTGTTCCTGTCGACTTCCAGGTAGGATTTAAGTGAACTTAGGCTAAAAGACAAAAGGTGAACGACTCCACAGAAGTAAGGATTGCATAGCGATGGACTGGGAGAATGACCCTCGTGTGAGGAGATGCACGGGAGAGACGGGCGGAGGAAACCGGGCTGCACCATCAGAGCCCGCAGCTGACCTCAGGGCTCTCGAGCGGCCAGGTGACAGTGTGGACGGTGGACACTGTGAATAGTTCATTATCTCTGTGCAAACATGGACAAGTGCCAGTAGGAATAGTTCATTTTCAACCCAAACCAAGTATTCTAGTGTCTTAGCAGTTAATGCTTAAAAAAATTTGTCTCAAGAGCATTTATGTAGGTGATTGAATGGTGCACCTGGGTTCATGTACCTGATGCAGGCTGTTAGGTACTCTTATCGTCTTTGAGCTCTTCTTTTTTTTTTTTTTTTTTAATTTAATTTATTGTTTTAATTTACATCCAAGTTAGCATATAGTGCAACAATGATTTCAGGGGTAGATTCCTTAATGCCTCTTACTTATTTAGCCCATCCCCCCCTCCCATAATCCCTCCAGTAACCTCTGTTTGTTCTCCATATTTAAGAGTCTCTCATGTTTTGTCCCCCTCCCTGTTTTTATATCCTTTTTGCTTCCCTTCCCTTATGTTCATCTGTTTTGTCTCTTAAAGTCCTCATATGAGTAAAGTCCTATGATATTTGTCTTTCTCTGACTGACTGATTTTGCTTAGCGTGATACCCTCCAGTTCCATCCATGTAGTTGCAAATGGCAAGATTTCATTTTTTTTGGTTGCCGAGTAATACTCCGTTGTATATATATACCACACCTTCTTTATCCATTCATCCATCGAGGGGCATTTGGGCTCTTTCCATACTTTGGCCATTGTCGACAGTGCTGCTATAAACATGGGGGTGCACGTGTCCCTTCGAAAGAGCACACCTGTATCCCGTAGATCAATGCCTAGTAGCGCCATCGCTGGGTCATAGGGTAGTTCTATTTTCAGTGTTTTGAGGAACCTCCACCCTGTTTTCCAGAGTGGCTGCACCATTTTGCATTCCCATGTTACATACTCTTCATTCACTTCTGTAAAGGCATTTTTGTAAGGACCTCAGGTAATGTAGACCAGGAACTTTCTGCTCTGGGAAGGAGACAGCATGCAGAGTGGGAAGAATCTCACAGACCTTGGTTCAAAAACTGCTTTTGTCAGCATACTCTGATTCTTCTAGGCACGCGTTAAGAGGGTATAACGATAGGAACACTGCCAACTTGTTTTGAAGGTTAAATTGTACAGTGTTGGCAAAATCCTGTCAGTGATGGTTACATTTTGGGCAATTAGTAGCGTGAGTGCCTGTGCACATATCCTGATGGGAGCATGACTGCAGGATTAGCCTGGACCGTATCTTGGCTCCCTTTTTGTAGCGTCCTATGGAAATCGTATAGCAGGCTGCTAAAAGCTGAGATTATTGACGTGCGTTTATAATACAGAAATTCGGTGGTGGTGTCTGAAAGGAGGTTCCTGTGTATGAGTACTAGTTTGGGGGTGGCAAGTGAACATTTTCATACGGAAATTCAAGGCAAAATCTTTTCTCCAGAAGTAGATTTGGATCTTCTTAAACGTTTCTCCTTCCTTACACCTGATGAAAGACGCTAATGAGTTTGTCCTACAAATCTGGGGGGGTTGATTTTGCCCCAGACAGAATTACTTTTCCTTTAAAGAATGATATTTAATGCTGCATATACAATGATGTTTATACAGTGTTTGATGATATGTGAATACCAGTAACACACAGCTTAGCCTGCTGTGTTAAGTCGTAAAATGTATACTGAGGTGACTAAATTTGATGACATATGATATTCATCTGGGTACTGAAAAGTATGTACCAGAAAAACACTCTTCCATAGTAGTTGGTCAGCAGGTCTAGTGTTTTTATGTGATGATGTTTCATGTCTTTAGTTTCTGTGTTCATTTAGGAACTGTATCAAGGGGCGCCTGGGTGGCTCAGTCAGCTGGGCGTCCGACTTCAGGTCAGGTCACGATCTCGTGGTTTGTGGGTTCGGCCCTGTGCCGGGCTCTGTGCTGACAGCTCAGAGCAGCTCAGAGCCTGGAGTCTGCTCTGGATTCTGTGTGTCGCTCTTTCTCTTCCCCTCCCCTGTTCGCACTCTGTCTCTCTCAAAAATAAACATTAAAAAAATTAAAAAAAAAACTGTATCAAAGAATTTGACTCTAAGTTGTCAAAGGTTAGCGTTTAAATGTATAATTGCTTTATCAGTAGCCATGCTAGATTGGTACCGTTCCAGAAAGCCTTTCAACTAGTGTTACCATTTCATGTTTTTTGTAAATATAAAGGTTGTATCATAATCCATACCTAGTTTCTATTTATGGGTATTAGAATGAAAGATTACGACAACTTAATTTAAGATAAAATTTTGAGGGACTCCTGGGTGGCTCAGTCGGTCAAACGTCCAACTCTCGATTTAGGCTCGGGTCATAATCTCGTAGTTCGTGAGTTCAAGCCCTGCGTCAGGCTCTGTGCTGACAGTGTAGAGCCTGCTTGGGATTCTCTCTTGCTTTCTTTCTCTCTCTCAAAATGAATAAATTAATTAATAAATTAATTTAAAAAGTTAGAATTTGGAAATTCGACACTTCAGTAGTATACTGAGATTATTTTGGAATGCTAGAATATTACCATTTTACTAGATGGAACGCATCATACGCTGGTATCCTTGCGTCCTTGAAAAGAAGCCATTTATAAAGGGGAGAGTGCAGAGAAGAAAGGGTAGACGTCTTGGGTTGCATGAGCTTGGTGGGTCTTAGGACGGAACCCAGGTGTTGTGGGAGGGTCGTAGGAGGCGGGTCGGTGGTGGGCTTGGTGGCAGCACACGGTGCTTCCCTGCAGCCGTGCGGTCCCGTGCGGTTTGAGGTGCCAGTGACACATGCCCATAGACCTCGCAGGCGAGTGCAAATCCAGAAAAGTGTCTTCCCTTACATTTATGAAATGTTTCTAGGTAAATTTACCTTGTAAAATATTTTTTCTCTTGATCCATTAGATACTGTGTTTGGCAGAGCAGATTAAGTTCACTGAAGATGTGGAAAATGCTATCCAAGACCATAGTCTTCATCAGATCGAAACCCAGCTGGTGACTAAGTTAGAGCACTATACTAGCATCGATACGAGTTCGGAGGATCCAGGGGGCACTGGTATGAACAATGTTCCATTTTTTTGCCTCCTTTTGGGTTACTGGAACTTTTTTTGTTAGTTTATCTTATCTGTCGTGTTTCTGACTATCAGTCATCTGTTTCAGAGGTTAGTTTCGGATTACAACGTACATACTTTAATATTGTACTTAGAATTGGTGATTCATTAAAACGCGTGTAGAAACCTTACCCCGTACTAATTTCCTTGTCCTCTTCTAGTTGTGTGGTAATTGTTTCATTTATTACATCTGCATACTCTGAAACCTCGGAGTTACATTGTTGCCTGTAAACATGGAGTGTATCTTTAAGGACCGGGAAGCACAGTCTGTGGTACTTAACTGGGTGCTCACCGCTTCTCTCGCTCTGCCTCCGTCCTGATGCTCCAAGCTTCCTTCGGGTACCGTTTTCCTTCTCTTTGAAGGACATCCTTCAGCATTTCTTTTAGAGCAGGATTGCGGGCTGTGATTTCTTTCCTACAGATTTTCCTTCATTGGAGAATGTTTTTATTTCATCTCTGCTGTCGTAAGTGAATTAGGATTGTTTTGGTTCTTTGCATGTTTTTTTTTTTTTTTTTTAACTTTTTTTATGTTTATTTTTGAGACAGAGAGAGACAGAGATTGAGTAGGGCAGGGACAGAAAGAGAGGGAGACACAGATTCCAAAGCAGGCTCCAGGCTCTGAGCTGTCAGCACAGAGCCCAACGCGGGGCTCGAGCCCATGAACCATGAGATCATGACCTGAACCAAAGTTGGAGACAACCGAGTGAGCCCCCCAGGCGCTCCTATTCTTTGCATGTTGAATGATGTGGGAAGATACCCTGGACGTTTTTAACATTGTGTTATGAGCGTCTGGGTCTTGTCAGTCCTTGAGACAGTGTTGATATTTTCTGTTAGCAGTAGATGTTGGGTTCGGGCCCCACGTGCCAGCCAGCCTTCTGTGGTTTGTGGTTCTGATGCCAGTTCTCTTTCCAGAGTCTCTGAGTCATGTGTAAGATGTCAGATCACTATGCTGTGCTCCTGAATCGGTCACAACACCATAAGTCAACTGTACTTCAAAAATGAAGTCTTTGCAGCACTGTTGAGATGGGCTTCACGTGTGCGCCATCTAGCGGCCAGTTCTCAGAGTGCCTGCTTTGATGGTTAGGGTGCCATCTGCGTTGCTTGGGGGTGAGCCCAGCAATCCTAAACAAGTTTCCAGGGTCATTTTCCCAGCCCTCCATCTCCATGCTCTTCATAGTACTTGGTGGTTTTCTTGGGCTCCTTTTCTCTTCTCCTGGCCAGAAAGCTGGGGTTTCATGTGCCCTAACCTGCTCACTTTCTGTGACTGTGTCTGTGTCCTGGGGCAGTTGGTGGCAGAGGAGAGAGGAGGAGAGCACGTGGGGTTCCCTTCCCTCAGGGTTTTAGCCCCTCGGTCTCCGGGGCCAATGCTGTAGCCCCCAACAGATTCCTTGTCTGCTCCTCACGCCTGAGCCCCGGGCCCTCCCCGGGAGTCTGCCTGACTGCGCCAGTCCAGGTTGCTGGCTGCGTTGGCCCAGGCCTGGGGAGACCAGAGAGATCAAAAGAAAAGGGTAAATCCGCCACTGGTTTGGTGACATGTCTAATTCTGATCTTCCCCAGTTGGCCTGATACTCTTTGCTTTTCAGACTCCGAAGTAGCAGCTGAGTGCCCATTGTCCGTGTCTTATCCTTGTGTTCACAGGGAAAAGCCGGATGGGGTGTGCTTGCTTCTGGTGTAAGGGACCGCAGCCCACTCTCACTGAATTTGATGTCCTATTCTTCGCAGGGGAATTCTTGTTTCTGACTGGTGGATTTGACATCGGTTTAATTTGTTACATTATTGTGTCATTCATTTGTATCATGAAATTAACATTTAGATTCATTTTGAAGCTCTGTGTATGTACGTACTGAATACAGAAATCTCAGGCTAACATTTTCTCCAAACATTTTACTTTGCATACAGAGTCTGGCATTCTGGAGCTTAAACTTAAAGCCCTGATTCTTGATATCATTCATAACATTGATGTGGTAAAGCATTTAAACCAAGTTCAGGTTCATACAACTGAAGACTGGGCCTGGAAAAAACAAGTCAGATTTTATATGAAAAGTGATCATACTTGTTATATTCAAATGGTGGATTGTGAACTTCAGTACACTTATGAGTACCAGGTATGACTCGTGGCAAACGTGTTTCATTTTTTCAATTAAAAATTATTTATTTTAACGGAAATTTGCTGTTGTATGGAAGAATTTTATTTGAGTACTAACTTTGAAGGATATATTTGTCTGTGACTGTTTTTTTCTGTTTCATCATAACTAAGAAGACGTTATGTTGGAGAAATATTGGCAGAAAATCTAAAATAGTGGCAGGGTTGTACTGCATTGCGACAGAAGCCGGGCTCTCCCTTCAATCTGGGAAGGGTGGAAGACCCATCCCACGAAAGGAGCCCGGCCGGGCCCCACACGAGGCCGTGCTTAGCGCCGTCTCACTTGCCGAGTGTTTTCAGTCTGTGCCATAGAAGAATTTCCAAACAGACAGACAACCTAGCTCATGGAACCTGTTCTCAAAACACCCCGCTGCATCCTCTCTGCATGTCCCATCCCGAGTCAGTCTTCGGAATATATCTGACGGTTGGGTTAATAAGTGCATGTCAGGAGAGTTGCCAGCTGGCTCCTTCAAGAAGGGAATGTATTAGGAGACCATGTCTGTGTCTACCTCCGTTGAATAAAAGCCCTATAAAGAGCAACTGGGATTGGTTCTGTTTTCCTGAAGACTTAGGAGAAATTTTGAGACCTCTTTGATGAGATAAAATTAGTAATTTCATGAGGCATTTTTCAAAATAATAACGTTGGAGTTCCAAAGTTGTTCTGACTTAAAAAGATCATAAGATTCAGGGAAATAATTTACACGAATTTTAAAATACAAAATAGGGTGATTATCGTATCATAGTTTTGGATTTTTTCACCTTAGCAGTATGTCTGTACCATTACCAAGAACCGGAGAGAATGTTTGGAAAACCTAACTGTATATTAATTGAGGAAGGCATAAACCACATGCCTGAGATTAATTTAGTTTTTACCGCTGTGCGCTTTTAAAAAGTTTCTTTCCCTAAAAAAGTATTTCGGGTATTTTTCTCTGTTAACAGCTTTTTAGCTAGTGCCACAAGGACACGTGTGGGACGTTGAGTACAGCGTGAGCATTCACCCTTTCCTCTCCCTCGTGTAGGGCAATGCTCCCAAGCTGGTCTACACGCCGCTGACGGACAAGTGCTACCTGACGCTGACGCAGGCCATGAAGATGGGCCTGGGCGGGAACCCGTACGGGCCGGCGGGCACGGGGAAGACCGAGTCGGTGAAGGCCCTGGGCGGACTTCTCGGGAGACAAGTCTTAGTTTTTAATTGTGATGAGGTAGAGGAAATCATTCGCAAACTAGATTGTAGTGTGTTAGTTATGAGTCTCGGTTAGTTTTCATGTCCTTACATATGAAATAGTCTATCTTGAGATCACTTTGCTTTTGGGTAGCTTGAAAACAGAATTTGTTTTGTTTGAAAAGCAACATGGAGAAAGGCTGCAGATAATATAGACTCCGAACTTTTCTAGAGAGAACTATTGCAAATAACTTTAAATACAGAATGAAGATTTGAGGGTGCAGAAATGCTTATTATAGGAAGGAAAAGAGTGAACAGAAAAGAGAAAAAAGTAAACTAATTTTGAAATTACTGTTTTTAGAACATTTTGTGTAGGATTTCTATTTTAACATAAAGAATAGCTATGAATCCTGTATCTATTTAGTTCTGTGTCCTTCGCAGAACACTTGTACATGAGTTCCTTTGTTTATTCTTTGAAACTCCCCTGGAAAGTGTAGCTATTGAACCTGTGCGAAGAAGAGAGAGAGATGGGTGAAACGATGACCTGCTCACTAAGTGACCAAGTATTCAGTTATTTTTAGAGATCTTCATTAGTTTTTAACGGATGTAATTTTTGTTGTAATTTTTTAGGGCATCGATGTGAAGTCAATGGGACGGATTTTTGTTGGTTTGGTGAAGTGTGGGGCCTGGGGTTGTTTTGATGAGTTTAATAGACTGGAGGAGTCTGTGCTGTCAGCAGTGTCCATGCAAATCCAGACCATCCAGGATGCCCTGAAGAACCACAGAACCGTGTGCGAGCTGCTTGGCAAGGAGGTATGGCATGTGTTGGGAATTGAAAGAGTTGAAGTATTCTTTGAGACTGCGCATTACTCACACTCAGGCAAACGCTCTGTCTTTATCTCTCCTGGCATCCCTGCTTCTGACTTATTTGTTAAACCTTTTTGCCCATGAATCATCCGAGGTTTCTCACCCTATTTTGGTCGCACCTCACCATTCACCTTCAGGCTTCGAGTGCTGCGTGTTTGTGGGAATGCTGCTACCGTTTACTGGGCACTTACCCTGGGCTGGCACCCCGGGCTGGCACCCTAGTGCTCCTGTGTATGCTCTCACTTCATGCTGGTAACCCTTCCACATGGTTACTGTTGTGCTCTTCTTCTTTACGGATGGGGAAGCAGAGCTTGGTGAGTCGGGAGAAAGCAGTGGGGCTGCGAATTGAACTCGGGTCTAATTTGGAAGCGCATGTTTTTAATCACTAGTCTTTTTTTTTTTTTAAAGATTTTTTTAAATGTTCATTTATTTTTGATAGAGAGCATGAGTGGGAGAGGGGCAGAGAGTGAGAGAGGGAGACACAGAATCTGAAGCAGGTTGCAGGTTCTGAGCTGTCAGCACAGAGCCCGATGCAGGCTCGAACCCATGAACCATGAGATCATGACTTGAGCCGAAGTCGGACGCTTAACCGACTGAGCCACCCAGGTGCCCCTTTAATTACTATTCTGTATGCATCTTAGAACAGTAAGCACTTAGCTGTTTTTCTGTTCCTCACTTTCCCCAGAGGAGATCCACACTCCTGTCAGGAGAGCGTGAGCATCTGTGTATGGAAGTGTAGCGCTGACAACACTGGAAGTTAGCTGTGAAGTTACCCGCTGAGCCACATAGTGTCTTCACAGCACAGGTTTCTCAGGGCAGGGCAAGGAAGGAATTGCGGTTCTCATTTAGTAACAGCTTACTCACGTGTTGCTTAAACTCTTCATGAGGAAACGAGAACTATTACGTTTCTACCTTTGTGCCGTCACAGCTGACTTTCTTCCGCACTGAGTGTGTTTTCTCCTCTCCTCCTCTTACAAAGAAAGGGTTGTCCTTGTTCCCGGTCCACACTAACCTGCCCACTTGCTGGGGCCGTGTCTCTGTGTCCTCTGTATTGAGGACTTAGCCCTCCCTCCTCTGCCCGCTCATCACTGGCCTTTAACACCACTGCATCTTGTCCTCTTTAATAATGTATGTCATGTAATAATACTGTAATGTTTGATGTAATGAACACACAGGCAGACCTTCCCCTCACTTACCTGTCCATTCATTGCTCTTCCTCTTTTGTCTCCTTTATAGCCAGATTTTCTTACTCCAGGTGTTTCTACCCAATTGCCCATTCACTGTCTACACTCTGATTTCACTTTAAGTGTGCTGTGGAAAACGCTCCTGCTAGGTGCTCTCATGACACGCTGCCCTACCCTGCCCTGCCCTGCCACAGCCTCGATCATACCGTGATTGCTCGTAGACCGTAAGCTGCAGGAGGACAGAAACCGTTACTTACTTTAGGTCAGAGTTGTGTTGTCTCCCGATACAAGGAGGCTTGTGGTAAACACAGACAGGAGCAGATGGGCAAGCGAGTCACCACCTCCGAAATTCCGGCCTCACAGAACTGATTATAAAGGGCCTCCGTAAATGCCGCTGTTCCTAAGGCGGTTATTGTATGTCGAGCAGGGAGATCCTTAGCTTATTAGCGTTTACCTTTTGCCGAGTTCTAAGATCTGTGTGTCGAAGTATGCACAATAAAAATCTGTTGGCAGTGTATTTTATATTTATAGTTACAGACACTTGGTGCCCATATTGTAAATTAATATTTCAGGTGGAAATCAATTCAAATTCTGGGATTTTTATCACCATGAATCCTGCTGGAAAAGGTTACGGAGGAAGACAGAAGCTGCCTGATAATCTTAAACAGCTTTTCAGGCCGGTTGCCATGTCCCGCCCAGACAACGAGCTTATCGCTGAGGTCATTCTCTATTCGGAGGGCTTCAAAGAGGCCAAAGTCCTGGGCAGAAAACTGGTAGCTATCTTCAATCTATCCAGGTGAGTTTTCCTGTGTTAAATATTTTTATAATTTTTGGTTCCGATGATTGATTATGACCATTTTTCACGTTTGTCAGTGATTTTCATATTGGCGATTGTATTGCACTAAAGGTGTCAATAGGGAAGATTTTAGTTTGAATAAGGACACATCTCACTGAAAACTACTTGTTCCTTCAATGCTATCAATTTGACCTGACTTCCTTTCTGCAAAAATATCTTCACTGGGGTGCTCCAGCTAAATGATGCTAATTGAACAAATCAGCAGACTCCGTAAAACCTGTCCTTTGGAGAGAGTCCTCCAGTTTTTCTCGTGTCGTATTTCTAGTAATAGCGGTGGGCTTCTGGCTTCTCTGGGCATCCTAACATTCTGTTCATGTTACTTACGAGACAACTGGAGTGCCAGAAACTGAGGGCCACAGGGCTGGAGTAGAGAGTTTAGGAGTAAAGGTGATAGGCACTTGTCGTTTAGTGTCTTCATGAAGGTGATTGGCCAGGTCATGACACGGTTGTCCTGATCCTTGGGAGTCATCCGTCTTCAACACTTTTCTGGAGTGATCGTTTTCGGTGATGGCTCCTTTGTATAGATTAATGGAGTATCAGTACCCATTTCTATGTGTCAGTGGTTACCTCTTCAAATACAATGAAAAAGTAATTTCTGGCTGTCATTGCTTTGTGATTTCCATGTCTCTTTAAGGGAACTTTTGACACCTCAGCAGCATTACGACTGGGGTCTGAGAGCCTTGAAGACGGTTCTTCGAGGAAGCGGAGGCCTTCTTAGACAGCTGCAGAGAGCCGGCGGGAAACACAAAGGTAAGGTCTGCGATTCAGATGCGATCTTAGTTTTTAAAATAAACTTTAATTTGGAATAGTTTTAGATTTACGGAAAAGCTATAAATACGGTAAAGATGGTTTTGAAAACCTGGCCCCGTTTCTCCTGTTGTTAACATCTTACGTTAGTGTGCTACATTTATTGCAACTAGTGGACCGATATTGAGAGGTTATTTTTTCAGCAAAGTCCATACTTCATTCACATTTTCTCTAGTTCTTACCCAGTGTCCTTAACTTTTAAATGTGCATTAGATACTAAATAGTTGTGATATATAGAAGAATCATCTAGTCCACTTCTCGGCCTTTGATGTGTGGTAGAATCACCTAGAAGCTTGTTAAAACACTGGTGTTGGACCCTTACTCCCAGCTTCCTGATTCTGTAGGTCTGGAGCAGAGCCTGAGAATTTCACTGGTCTGAAAATGAGAACAGAAACTATAGAAACACATAGGGATTTTCTTTTTTCTTTTTTTTCTTTTTTCGAGTTTATTATTTGAGAGTGAGAGTGTGTGTGAGCAGGGAAGAGGCAGAGAGAGAGAGGGAGAGAGAGAGAATCCTAAGCAGGCTCCATGCTGTCAGCACAGAGCCCGAAACGGGGCTCGAACTCACAAAATGTGAGATCATAACTTGAGCTGAAACCAAGAGTTGGGCGCTCAACCAACTGAGCCAACCAGGGGCTCTGGGATGATTTTCTCTTTCAAAGAGATAGTATACCAAACAAAATTGCCCTTTAAAAAAATCTTAAGATTACCGAAAAAAAACCCTTTTAGCCTTAAAATAATTTTACAGTGAAGTTGCAAAGGTAGCATCCCATTGTTTCATCTTATTTACTGTGGTACATTTGTCTATACTTGGAAACTGAGGCTCGTGTATTAATATTAACTAACGTCCAGACTTCATGTGGATTTCACCCGTTTAATCATTAATGTCCTCTTTGTGTTTGAGGATCGGATCTAGGGTGCATTTAGTCATCATGTCTCCTTAGTCTCCTCGGCCCTGTGACCGTTTCCCCTTGTGTTTTGTTTCCACGACCCTCGCATTCGTTAAGAGTACTGGTCACATGTCATGTAGACTCTTCCTCAGTCTGGGTTTTTTTGTGATGTTTTTCTCATGATTAGACCTGGTTGTCCACATTTGGAAGGAAGAGCAGAGAGTGAAGGGCCTGTGACATCACATCACATCCTATCCGTGGGTACACAATGACCACATGACATCACTGGTGATGTTCACCTTCATTGAGTATTGTGGTGGTATTTGCCAGGTTTCTCCAGTGTGATAGTAACTGTACAGTTACTGTTTCCCACTTTCCCTCCCGTACTCTTTAGAAGCTGGTTACTGAGTGTGGCTCACCTTCTAAGTGGGGTGGCAAGGACTAAACTTGATCCTTTAGCTCAAGGAGTATTTGAAAATATTATTTGAAACTCTTCTGTAAGATTTGTCTCTTCCCTATTTATGTATTTATTATATTCGCATCAGTTTGAACTCATGATATTTTATTGTACTTTACCACCTTTTTTTCCCATTTACATAAAATAAATTATTCCCCCTCACCCATGGATGTGTGCTTTCATGAAAGGCTGAATATTCAGCTCTTCAGATGCCAGTAAAACTAAGTTAAAACACTGAAAATAAGACAACATAGAAAAAGGGACCATGTGACATTATCCATTTGGACTTAAAATGATCAGAGTCTACATATTAGAAAAGAAAGTTGCTTTAGCTTTATTATTGGGTTGGCATTTGCCAGGGAAGATAGTCATTTGGTGAGTTGCTTAAATTACTGTTTTTCTGTTGTCTGTCTCTGCTGATTGTTGAGAAATGTTGAAACCATACCTGTAGTAATCAAAATGGCTTATTAACGAGTTCAGTGCTTAAACTCCAGTATGGCCATGCCTCTTTGCCTACAGTTAAATATGGGAATATTAAGCAATTTTGGAGAAATATCAGACTTTAAAACATAGTTTCTTGCCTTCATAGATATGTGTTGTCAATCTGCAGCTAATTATTATCCTTGAAAAAATAAGAATCTAACAATGATATTAGCATTTGTATTTGTTTAAGGGATGGATTTGTAAACAGTTCTGAGTAAGGCTGATTAAAAATTATCGCTCAGTTTGTTAGTTGTTAGTCTCGGGACTTAATACCCCTCGGGGGGGGGGCAGTTCTGGTATATTTGGAGGCACTTGAGTCTGGAATGCATTGGTCTGGGTGTGAATCCCAGCTCTAATACTGCTGTGCCTTCGCAGGTATATCGCTTGATCCCTTAGAGATTCGTTATTCTCCTAGATAAAATCAGAGTAAAAATGGCAATACCCCCTTACTTGATGCAGTTATTATAAGGATCACATACAAATGGTAAAGTTTTATACAAATATAAGTGACCGTGATTTTTATTATTGATTAAAGTCTGGCAATGCTGGGACTCAAGTTCTGCGGAAGAGAGTCCCGAGCTGTACCTAGGTATCTTTATTTCTCAGCAGACAAGACAGTAAGTAAGGTGAGCATGCCAGTTCCGTGGTAGCTTGTGGCTTTAACTGTTTCTAGGTTCTTGCACATCTATGTCATAACTAATAATGCGTATCACGGCTCTCAACGACTGTTTTACAGTCATTGAAACTTTCTGAAGTCAGTAACCATTTTAAAATGAAACTTTTTCTCTAGTTGATGAAAGTCATATTGTGGTACAAGCATTGAGGCTTAATACAATGTCAAAGTTTACATTTGCTGATTGCGCACGGTTTGATGCACTGATTAAAGATGTATTTCCTGGGATCGACTTTAAAGAAGTAGAATATGATGAGCTCAGGTCTGCGTTACAGCATGTCTTCGAGGAAGCCAATTATGAAATCATACCAAATCAGGTACCTGTCAATATTTTATAATATGTTGATCCTTTCTTTTGGCTACTTCCTTATTAATAATCTTTATCTTTTATCTGTCCATTTTGTTTTATTGTTTTTAAAAATTTTTTTTAATGTTTCTTTATTTTTGAGACAGGGACAGACAGAGCATGAACAGGGGAGGGTCAGAGAGAGAGGGAGACACAGAATCCAAAGCAGGCTCGGGGCTCCAGGCTCCAGGCTGTCAGCACAGAGCCTCACGCGGGGCTTGAACTCACAGACCGTGAGACTGTGACCTGAGCTGAAGTCGGACGCTCAACTGACTGAGCCACCCAGGCGCCCCTTATCTGTCCATTTTAATCTTGCTAACTCGGGGAAGCCTTCCCTGATCTTTGAGTCCACATTAGGTTTCCTTGCTGAGTATTTTCATTACTTCTTTATGTGTACTTATTAATGCTTAATTGTATGTTTGACTAATACTGATTTTCCCCACCAGATATTAGTGTTCATGGAAGGTGGAATCCATGTCTCTTTTCACTCAGTATTTTACTCCTAGTGCCTGTTACAGAGCCTGGCACATAATAAGTCATTGTTTTAACGTTTGTTTATTTTTGAGAGGCAGAGACTGAGTGCGAGTGGGGGAGGGGCAGAGAGAGAGGGAGACACAGAATCCGAAGCAGGCTCCAGGCTCTGAGCTGTCAGCACAGAGCCTGATATGGGGTTCGAACTCACGAACTGTGATATCATGACCTGACCTGAAGTTGGGCATTTAACTGACTGAGCCACCCGGGTACCCCTACATTTTTTTTTTTTTTTAATGTTTATTCAGTTGAGAGAGAGAGAGCGAGAGCGCATGAGCAGGGGAGGGGCAGAGAGAGGGACTGAGAGTGGGACACACAGAATCTGAAGCAGGCTCCAGGCTCCGAACTGTCAGCACAGAGCCCGACGTGGGACTCGAACCCACAAACTGTGAGATTATGACATTAGCTGAAGTTGGATGCTTAACTGACTCACCCACCAGGTGCCCCAGCCTGGCATATAATAGACCATCATGCATATTTTTGATAATTGATTACATTACTTCTGATGTTTTACTTTGATGATTTTTTTTTTTTTTTCAACATTTATTTATTTTTGGGACAGAGAGAGACAGAGCATGAACGGGGGAGGGGCAGAGAGAGAGGGAGACACAGAATCGGAAATAGGCTCCAGGCTCTGAGCCATCAGCCCAGAGCCCGACGTGGGGCTCGAACCTACGGACCGCGAGATCGTGACCTGGCTGAAGTCAGACGCTTAACCGACTGCGCCACCCAGGCGCCCCTACTTTGATGATTTCTTAGGAGAAATTCTTTTTAGTAGCTTTTGTATGTAGCGCAAGTGTGTGTTCAAAATGAACATTTTTCCCTCGGGTTTTATCTCCCTTTTTTTTTTTTTGAGAGATATAGGACATAAATGAATGCATCAGCACGTGAATAAAATAATGAATATATTTGAATGAATGAGTGAAGAAAATAATGAACATATTGTATTGTCCAATGACTTGGGAAGCATACTTGTTTCTTTTAAAGAAATACTGGATTTAAAGATGACCCTGCAAATGTGTTCAGATTTATTTAGGTGTACTCTTATTTAAGGCTGTATCTTACACTGAAGAAATCAAAGACTTAATTTTATGTGTTTGGAATAGGACAGTTGTTAGAGAGTGAGAACAGGACTGTGCATGATTATGTTCTATTAGCCATATTCAAACATGTCTCCTTTCTACTAGATCAAGAAGGCTTTAGAATTATATGAGCAGTTACGCCAGAGGATGGGAGTGGTCATTGTTGGTCCAAGTGGTGCTGGAAAGTCAACCCTTTGGAGGATGTTAAGGGCAGCACTTTGTAGAATTGGCAGAGTGGTGAAACAGTACACCATGAACCCCAAAGCCATGCCTAGACATCAGCTGTTAGGCCACATTGACATGGACACACGGGAATGGTCGGACGGCGTTTTGACAAACAGCGCTCGCCAAGTCGTTCGGGAACCTCAAGGTTGGTCCGTGTCCTGTGACTCCTTGTTCTGCTTCATGATTTTTAGAGGATGATAGAATTGTCTTTACTGCTGTCCCTCTCAAGTCTTACATGTGACCATAAACTGCCTTGTAAACGATGTTGTTTGGTATTTTATTTCAGAGGGACCCAACATGTGCTGTCATGTTGATCTCCACACTATAGGAGCTTCCGTTAGAATAGAAACTCAGAGTAGTCTGGGTGACGTGTGATTCACAACTACATTAATATACTGAAAAAAATATAAAATCTTTGCTGGGTTGATGCATTACTTAGTGCCTCATAAATAAGCAAGATGACAAATTTTTATTTGGGATTAAAATTGGTTGTGTGTGTGTATGTGAACACTTTTCACTCATTAATTTCAATACAGTGCTTTGAATAATTTTGAAAATTTAAGTCGTAAAACTGTAGACTTCCTGGTCTCAAATGTCTGGCTTGATCTTTAAAAGAATTTTTGGCCAGGGTCTGAGAAGACTCTGCAGTTTTTGTTAGATTGTAATTAACAGTTGTTTTTCTAAGCCCATGAGTGAAACGTTTAGAACTCTGTGACACTAGAAGAGATTTCAGTGAGGTTTTTCATTTTCACTGTAGTTAATAATATCACACTGGGGCAAATCCAGACATTGCCTGTATTTACTTTTCACACTTTCATTGGTGATAGTTTCTTCTTTGACGGTTTCAAATGTCCAAATTCAAGTTGAAACTGCTCTCAGTTTAGGAAGGATGGATTAAAAAAAATGGTTTGTCTCTAAAAAGACCTCTGTACACAGCGCTGCTTCTCCCCTTTGAGGTCACCTTTTTATATACCAAAGAAATCAGGTGAGTTTTGTATTTCTCAGGTAGGATGCTAAAAATGGACTTCCTGTATTTTCTACAAGAGATGTGACGTAGCAAGCACTCATACATTCTTAGGACGTGGCGGAAGACAAGGGTGTGGACAATATGTGCCAAGGTCATGGGGCGGGTGATCCCCAAGTCTTGCACACCGTCTTGTGTTTAGCGAGATTCCAGTTCTGTGTGTTGGTGGGTGAGTAGAACGTTACTACACGGTCCGTAACCAGGTCTCTGGCCACCTGAGCCAGGACTTCCTGTGGGTGTTCAGCCTCCAGGACGTTTGTAGTGCAGATTCACGTGGAAAATATCAATCAGCTTGTTCAACTTGTGCTCCTGGTGTTCTGGCGCAGTAATATAAAATCACACTTCCTGGACATTACTTCTAAAGAAGAAGATAATTATTTTATTGCTTATTTGTAATTGTCATCACTGCACGTATTTGTGTTTCACCTCTTTTTTGTTTGGAAAACAGATGTCAGCTCATGGATAATATGTGACGGCGATATTGACCCTGAATGGATAGAATCTCTGAATTCTGTTCTGGATGACAATCGACTCCTCACTATGCCCAGTGGAGAAAGGATTCAGTTCGGCCCAAATGTTAACTTTGTGTTCGAAACTCATGATTTAAGTTGTGCCTCGCCAGCCACAATATCTAGAATGGGCATGATCTTTCTTAGGTAAACCATAAGGCATTTGCGAGTATTATATTAGGATATTCTTCAGTTATTAGTTTGGTTTCATAGCTAAGTGAAGTAAGTGTTGTATGAATAGTATATAAATATGCATTTTCCTCATTTTTGATTAGCTTCTTTTCTTACTGGGTTTTAATTCATTCAGAGAGTTTCTGTTTTATTGCAGTTAAATTGTTTGAGCAGTTCAGGCATAGTACAGTTATTAAATATTTTTGTTTGCTTAAGTGAAAAAGTAATTGGTTTTGTTTTCTCTTTTTTTTTTAAAGTTTATTTCTTAAAGAGACAGAGACAGCATGAATGGGGGGTGGGCAGCGAGAGAGGGAGAGAGAGAGTCCCAAGCGGGCTCTGAACTATCAGCGGGCTCTGAACTACCAACGTGGAGATCGAACTCATGAAACTACGAGATAATGACCTGAGCTGAAACCAAGTCACATGCTCAACCGACTGAGCCACCCAGGCGCCTTCCCTCCCGTTTTTTAAAAGTATTGTCCTTCTCGGGGTGCCTGGGTGGCGTAGTCGGTTAAGCGTCCGACTTCAGCCAGGTCACGATCTCGCGGTCTGTGAGTTCGAGCCCCGCGTAGGCTCTGGGCTGATGGCTCAGAGCCTGGAGCCTGTTTCCGATTCTGTGTCTCCCTCTCTCTCTGTCCCTCCCCCGTTCATGCTCTGTCTCTCTCTGTCCCAAAAATAAACGTTGAAAAAAAAAATTAAAAAAAAAATAAAAAATAAAAGTATTGTCCCTCTTTTTTTTTTAAAGTTTATTTATTTTGAGAGAGAGTACATGTAGGGGAGGGACAGAGAGAAAAAGACAGGGAGAGAATCCCCAGCAGGCTCTGTCCTGTCACTGTAGAGGCCGACTTGGGGCTTGAACTCATGACTGTGAAGTCATGATCTGACCTGAAACCAAGAGTTGGATGCCCAACTGAGTGAGCGCCCCAGTTGTCCCACTATTCCTTTGTTTAAATGTTAGAACTAAGTGCAAAGAAGTGAACATACTAGATATGAGCTAGAGGCTAATAATCTAAAACTAAGTAGCAATATTTTTATCATAGATCTTAGATTGATAGAATTTTAGGGCTAACCTAGGATGAATAGGCCCTGTGGTGCAGCCTTTTGTTTCACAACTGGAAACCTCTTCACTTAATGTTTTCTTTCTTCCTCAGCATGTTTGGAAGAGGCTTGAAGAACAAATATGAAGAATAAGCTGATTTTAGAAATCATGTACAGTAGTCGCATATGAGAACATCAACATTGCAGGGAATGGCAAAATATTGAGCCCTTGTCAATTCTAAAATTATTAATCTAGCAGTTGTGTTTGCCATCGTTTTTTATAGTTATTTAAGCTATAGTTTTGAATAAGATGTTAGTGTTAAATTTAATTTAATTCATTGGATGTGACATACAATTAGGTGCTTTGCTAAAAGAATCCTATTTTAATTCGGGAAGATCTTTGAGTTTTAATTAGTGGCATGAGAATTTAGGTAGTTGGCCTTTTTTGGGATAGAGAAGAAGAAAAAATATTTTTAAAGATCTGCATTAAGGTACAGGTGTCCTTGAACTCTGTTGTGTGTTTGAATCACCCAGGAATTTTGTTAGAGTGGAGATTTTGTTCCACTAAGTCTGGGATGGGACTTGGGATTCTCTGTTTCTTTGTTCCTAAGGATTTAGATCAGGTTTTGGCTAACCTGCGTGTATGTAATTCCTCTTTAATTTGTGTTTATAATATTGATGAAATTTATTTGCTTTATTTTACAGAAAATGACATATGTATATACGTATACATATGTGTGTGTGTGTACATATATCACTAATATACACACACATATACATATAGAAATAATTAAAATCAAGTCTCATATATAAGCAGATACAATACCTGTAGAATATTGTTTATTGGAGCAGGAGTTTATTTTGAAAGCACACTGACATTGTCTTCCTAAATAATTTCTTACATGTTTGTTAATCTATTTCAGCGATGAAGAGACAGACGTTAATTCTCTGATAAAATCTTGGTTGAAGAATCAGCCTCCTAGTTATAGGAATAATCTTGAGAGCTGGATTGGAGATTACTTTGAAAAGGCTTTACAGTGGGTTCTGAAGCAGGTAAGTTAGCCATAATATTTCATAATTAACCATTTAGGCAAGAAGAATAACGATGAAGATGTGATGCTCAGCCAGGATGTGGGGTACAGGGACAGCTAGGTGTCCTCATTGCTCTCCTGCTCATTGTCTTGGCTTTTAACTTTTTACTGCAGTAATCTTTTTTTCCCTTCAAATTTTTATTTAACTTCTAGTTAGTTAACATACAGTGTGATATTGGTTTCAGGAGTAGAATTCATGATTCATCACTTAACATCACCCAGGGCTCATCACAGCGAGCGCCCTCCTTAGTCCCCATCCCTCACCCACCTCCCTCCATCAGCCCTCAATTTACTCTCTCTTGTTAAGAGTCTCTTACGGTCTCTCTCCCTCAAATAAATAAATAAATAAATAAATAAATAAATAAATACCTTAAAGAAATAAAAAAAAAACAGAGTCTCTTATGGTTTGTTTCCTCCTCTTCTCTCCCCCCTTCCCACATATTCATCTGTTTTGTTTACTAAATTCCACATGAGTGAAATCATATGATATTTGTCTTTCTCTGTCTTATTTTGTTAGAATACACTAGCTCCATCCACATCATTTCAAATGGCAAGATTTCGTTCGTTTTGATGGCTGAGTAATACTCCATTGTGTCTCTGTGTATGTGTGTGTGTGTGTGTGTGTGTGTGTGGGTGGGTATACACACCACATCTTCTTTATCCATTCATCTGTCCATGGAGAAATGGGCTCTTTACATAATTTGGCTACTGTTGATAGTGCTGCTATAAACATTGGGGTACATGTACCCCACTGAATCAGTATTTTTGTATCCTTTGTGTAAATACCCAGTAGTGCAAATGCTGGGTCATAGGGTAGTTCTATTTTTAATTTTTTGAGGAACTTCCATACTTCTTTCCAGAGTGGCTGCACCAGTTTGCATTCCCACCAGCAGTGCAAGAGAGATCCTCTTTCTCCGCATGTTCGCCAACATCTGTTGTTGCCTGAGTTGTTAACGTTAGCCGTTCTGACAGGTGTCAGGTGGTATCTCATTGTGGTTTTGATTTGTATGTCCTGTATGATGAGTGATGTTGAGCATTTTTTCATGTGTCAGTTGGTGATCTGGATGTCTTCTTTGGAGAAGTGTCTATTCGTGTCTTTTGCCCATTTCTTCACTGGATTATTTGTTTTTTGGGTGTTGAGTTTGATAAGTTCTGTATAGATTTTGGATACTAACCGTTTATCAGATACGTCGTTTGCAAATATCTTCTCCCATTCTGTAGGCTGCCTTATAGTTTTGCTGACTGTTTCCTTCACTGTATAGAAGTTTTTTATCTTGATGACGTCCCAATAGTTCATGTTTGCTTTTGTTTCCCTTGCCTCCAGAGTCATGTTAAGTAAGAACTTGCTGAGGCCAACGTCAGAGAGGTTTTCCTTCATCCATTTTGAGTTTATTTTTGTGTATGGTGTAAGAAAGTGGTCCAGGTTCATTCTTCTGCATGTCGCTGTCCAGTTTTCCGAGCACCACTTGCTGAAGAGACTGTCTTTATTCTGTTGGGTATTCTTTCCTGCTTTGTCAAAGATTAGTTGGACATACTGTTGTGGGTCCATTTCGGGTTCTCTATTCTGTTCCACTGATCTCACGGTCTGTTCTTGTGCCAGTACTGTACTTTCTTGATGATTACAGCTTTGTAGTATAACTTGAAGTCTGGGATTGTGATACCTCCTGCTTTGGTTTTCTTTTTCAAGATCGCTTTGTGTATTCGGGGTCTTTTCTGGTTCCATATAGATTTTAGGATTGTTTGTTCTAGCTCTGTGAAGAATGCAGGTGTTATTTTGTTAGGGATTGCACTGAATGTGTAGATTGCTTTGGATAGTGTAGACATTTTAACAATATTTGTACTTCCTATCCATGAGCATGGAATGTTTTCCCATTTCTTTGTGTCCTCTTCAACTTCTCTCATAAGTGTTCTGTAGTTTTCAGAGTACAGATCTTCTACCTCTTTGGATAGGTTTGTTCCTAGATATCTTATGGTTTTTGGTGCAGTTGCAAATGGGATCAATTCCTTGGTTATTTTATTGATTTATTTTTTTTGCTGCTTCATTATTAGTGTATAAAAATGCAACTGGTTTCTGTACGTTGATTTTATATCCTGAAATTTTGTTGAGTTCATGTATTCTAGCAATTGTTTTTTTGTGGAGTCTTTTGGGTTTTCTACGTAGAGTATCATGTCATCCACAAATAGTGAAAGTTTGACTTCTTTGGCGATTTGGATGCCTTGTTGTTGTTGTTGTTGTCTAATTGCTGAGGCTAGGACTTCCAGTAGTATGGTAGATTGTAACTGTGGGAGTGGACATCCTTGTCTTGTTCCTGACAATGGCTCTCACTTTTTCCCCATTGAAGATGATATAAGCTGTGGGTCTTTCACATATGGCCTTTATGATGTTGATATATGTCCCATCTATCCCTACGTTGTTGAGGGTTTTTATCAAAAAAAGATGCTATATTTTGTCAAATGCTTTTTCTGCATCTATTGACAGGATCATATGGTTTTCATCAATCCTTTATTGTGGTATAGCACATTGATTGATTTGCAAATATTGAACCACCCCAGCAGCCCAGGAATAGATCGCACTTGACCATGGTGAATAATTTATTTAATCTGTTGGATTTGATTTGCTAGTATCTTGTTGAGAATTTGTTATGGTAGTCTTAAGACACTTTAATTCTCTGACCTACACTATCTTGAACTGCTTACCTAAAAATCTTGAATAGTGGAATCTCTCATGTTTCTAGTAAAACCATCTTGCTGTTACATTTCACTGTCAATAAGTACCAGCATATATTTCATGCTAAAAACTATGTCAAGTTAATACTACAGTAGAAAAAGGGTGATGAGTTATTTACAATGTTATTAAAAACATCTGTTTATTCAAAAAATTAATAGGTATCTAGTATACGTATCAAGCATAGGACTAGATAAGACTTTAAGAGGTGGACATTAATCGGACAGTCTGTTTCCTTGGGGAGGGATTTGCCTAATGGAGAAAAATGAGATTTAGAAAAATAAACAGGATGAAAAGAGTGTTACCATCCTCCAGAAGAGTTCAAAAAGTTGATAACACTTAGTTCTGAATTTGAAGCATGAATAGAAGTTTGACGTGCACAGAAGACAATGTAGGGCTTTCCGATATTCTATACGATTTTTTCAGTTTTTTTTCTTGTATGTCATTGTTTCTATGAAAAATGTAAACATATAAAAAAGTAGAGGAAATAGGTAGCATTGAAAGTACTTTTTGAAAGTATCTGATTGTTAACCTGAAGTTGACTTAGTAGTCATTGTAGAAGATTGTAGAATGACAGAGAAGTGGAGATCTCACTTGAGTTTTCTCAAGGTGTCTCTTTCCTGTCTGTAAGGATGAGATGGAGGGATAGGGATTTGTGAGGAGAAGACGCACATGAATGGGTTCCTGGAGGCCTCGGGGAGAGGACCATTCCTTCCAGCGCTCAGTCTGACAGATCGGTCTCCTCCTTGCTAGTATAACTGCGTGCATTCAACTCCAAGCCCCTTGGAGGGCAGGACCACATTTTATTGTATCCCCAGAACCAAGTACCGTCATGGAGTAATGAATGAATGAGAGTTTATGTACTGCCTTAAATACCTGCTGCCTCCCTTGTAGCAACTTTTCAGCAGATATGTTATTTCATTCATATAGAATATACAGAGCCTAATAAGGCTCTCTAGGACAAATACTTTGAGGTCATCCACTTGTATGCTGTTGATGTTAGAAACAGAAATAGAACACTGGATGGGACAGATTGGTATGTAGGGGTTTTGTGGCTATAGATACAATGACCAGATAAGATGGTCAAGCCATAGAGTGGATATACCAAAGATTCAGTTAGAAAATAAACTGATTGTTTTGAGGTCAGGTCCCTGTTACAGTTTGAAATTTTTTTATGTGTTGAGACTTCCTTCCTTCTTATTTTGTACTTTGTTCACTGTGTTCATGTTCTGAGAGCTAGACTGTCATGAATACTCCAACCAAATGCTGATTTGATTTTAACTAGAGTTTTTCTTTCTTCTATTAATTCAGCAAATTAGACAATGCAGAAATAAATATATTGCCTTTAAAGTGTAGAACTCTTAGTATGGCTGAGGCAGCTGGATTTCTCCTCATCTTTTCCTTTTTCCTGGTCTTCCTCCCATTTATACAATCTTGTAGAAACATTTCTTTTGCAGGCAGAGTGACCTTGAAAAAATGCAAATTGGATCTTTTTACCCTCTTATTTAAAACACCTTATAAGTAGTGAAAATAAAATTTGCACCCTTTCCATGGCCTGTGCACTTGTGTATATTCTGGCCCTTGCCCATCCCTTTGACTTCAGCTTACTCTCCTTTGCTTACTCAGGCATAAGCTGCTTTTAATTTCTTACCCACACTGGTGGCTTACATTTGCATATGCTGCGCTCTCTGCATGCCCTGCGGATCTCATCCTCCAGGTGTCAGTTTCACTGTCCCCTTTTACAAAGAGGCTTAAGCTCTCTGAGTTACTCTCTTCTCCTCTGTAGCCTTTTTTTTTTTTTTAACCGATAATTTTTTTTAGCGTTTATTTTTGAGAGTGAGGGAGAGAGAGAGGGGGAAAGAGAGAGCGCAAGAGAGCACATGGGCATGCGCGCGCAAGCGGGAGGGGGGGCGGTGGTTAAGAGAGAAGAAAACACAGACTCCAAAGCAGGCTCCAGGCTCTGAACTATCAGCACAGAGCCCAACGCGGGGCTCGAACCCATGCACCATGAGATCATGACCTGAGCTGAAGTCGGACACTCAACCAACTGAGCCACCCAGGCGCCTTGCTCCTCTGTAGCTTTTACCATAAGTTGTTGACCATGTTCTCTACTGGACTTGAGTGACAGGAACATAAGTTCTCTGTGAAATTCACCTTTTTTTTTTTTTTTTTTAAAGAAAACACCTAGCACCACATGGACATCCTAATGCATAATTGGGTCTCAGTAAATACTTAGAGATTGAATGAGTGAGAACCTTTACCCCTTTTAACCTCTGGCAGTTACACAGGGGTCCCAGGGGCCCACAGATCAAAGTCATGTACACACTGCACCCCAAAGTTTCATTTTAAAAGTCTGTGTAAAGAGCTAACTTCAGATGTTTTTTTGTGTTAAGTTCACTTTTACGAGCCTTTAATGTCCAGGGTCCTTGATCGAGCCCTTACCTCTAGCTTCCTCTTTATCAGGAAGAGATTATGAGGGACTGTTATTTTCAGACCAGTGATGTACTTTTATATTCTTCAGACTTAGGAAGTAAAGTATATATCTAGTTAAGAACTCTAGCACTTGAAGCTAGAAATAGACAATTGCATTTTTTTTTCAGCTATTAATACAATTTTATTGTTAAGTGAAAAAGTAAATATTTAATACTATTATACAACAGTATAAGCTCTAGTATTTTATATGTGTGTTTATATTCATAAAAATAATGCTTCCTTTTCTGGAGGCCCAGAAGTTAACTAGTGTAGTGATTCTCAAGTTTTGCTGCATCTCAGAGTCAAAGGTGGTCACGCTCAGGCCACAGTGACCAATTACATCAGAACCTCTGCCGATGGGAAACTGTCAGCGCAGAGCCTGATGTGGGGCTTCAACTCACGAAATTGTGATGATGAAGAGTCAAACACTTAACCGACTGAGCCACCCAGGCACCCCTTGTATTATCATTTTTAAAGCTCCCCAAGCTAAACTTGAGAACAAATGAATTAGGTTATATTAGGGCAAAGGCTGATAAAAGTTGTGCTATTGATTATCTTAACTTATGCAAATACAGGTTATGCTTTTGCTCTGTTCTTGTGTATACTGTTTCTAAAAGAAGAGGCTGATCTCTTGCTCAGTGGTACTGAAAGAGAGGTTAGCTATAAAACTGGATCCCCAAGAATGTAACAGTGCTCTGTATTTAACCTGTAGCATTAGTCCTAATGCACAGGTGCTTATCAGATGTATTCTTAGCGCTTTATACAAATACAGATATCTAGAAACTACCCTAGACTAGCCGAATCAAAATCACTAGGGGTGGTACCTGAGCTTGTGAACTTTAAAAAAAGTTCATGATTTTTGATGCCCAATTTTGTCTGAAGATATCTAGAGGTGTGCTACATAGTATGTCCTTAGCTATATGTGGTGACATTGTAGAGAAGCAGATTTTAGAAAAATAACTTTAAAAATCACTTATAGCTACCCAGCAATGGAACAATCCATTTTAAGGCAGTGAGCTCTCTGTGGCTGGAGAAATAAAGGCAGAGGTTAGATTGCAAACTGCTGGGAATGTTGTCCAAGGGCTCCCAAATTTAGGAAGTACTTGGATAACCTGATAGTTAAGATTACTTCCAATTCTAAAGTTTCTTTAGCTAAAACTTGCAATCTTCACTTATAGTGGATATACACACTGTCATGAAAACTCATGATTTACCCACAAGTATCATAATTATTTTGTTTCTGAAATTGGCTAGAATGAAGTAGTGTTAATGGAACATGGCCTGACATCAGTCTTATTGAGGGGGATGCTTTTCCTTCCTCCTATCTGCATGGAGGGAAGCGACTTTTTCTTGCTCCTTGGGAGAGAGAAGTATGGGAGCAAGCTCTGTGAACCGTCATTCATTCCCTCTCAACAGAGAAGTGTCTTATCTGAGATGTGATTTTGGGAGAAGGAACTTAGCACGTGTGGCCCCGCCCCTAGTGGGTCCTCTCTCCTTGGAAGCTAAATGCTCTCAGAAGGCAAAGGTAGGCTCCATCCCCGGCAAGGCAGAGGTCTGCAGTTGTGTCCAGTCAGGGAGATATTTTAGGGAGCCTAATAGGAGAACAAGTCAACCTTGCTCTCTATCTCAACGTCACTGATAATAAAGCTGACTTGTTGATCTCTCTCTGACTCCCATGTCTTACTTCTCACTTTGTTCCAAAGTGAAGAGAGGAATGAGGGAGTTACCTGTTGGTGTCCTTGAGCCCCATAGCATCACAACAGAGTCACAAATTGTGTTTGCCCATGTCTATAACACTTGCGTTCTGAAACAGCATTGTTATTTTTTTTTTGAAATCAATGAACAACTATAAAGTACAAAGTGCTTCTAAAATCACAAAAAGAACAAAACATATAAAAAGGCCCTCTTTCTTTAACTGGCATAATTTGGGAATTCTAACTGCTCAATTGTTTATTTTTAGAAAACAGTAACATTTTCCAAGTTTCTACTTTATTGAGAATAATCTTAGTCATGATCTGCAGAAGTTGGTCCTGGGCAATTTGAAGAGAGGTCTTCTTTATCTTCATAGGCTGTTCCACACCAAATACAATACAGATGTTCTTCTCTTAAATAACCAGTCAATATTTGTAATTTCCAGTACACTCAAGTCTTCACTCTTATATTCATCTTCATCGTGTTCTTTTTCTTCCTCTTCCTCTTCCTCGGTTTCCTCTTCAAGCCCCAACCAGTACCATGCTTCCCTAGGAACCTGAATATTCTTCTGAGTATCCAACTGCTGGCAGGCTCGCTGGCTTCTTCTAAGGTCCCCTTCCAGCTTCACTTCATCCTGCTTATGTTTCAATCACAGTTGAAACTGCTCTGTGGCTTTTTCTTCCGCTTGGGTTTTCACGTGGATCTTTCTTCTATAGTTTTCTAGTTTTTCCTCTGCTTTCCGCTTCAGTAATGCCTCATGACCAATGCCACTTTTCCCTGTTTTGATGTTGAGAGGAATTGGTTCAACAATACCACCTCCACTTTTGCCAAGGGCCTGACCACTTTTATATCCCATCTTTTGGAGCAAAGCAAACCCTTTGTTTTCACAGCCTAGTGCATTCTTCAATCCAATGTCACGTCTTTCTTGTTCTTCTTCTTTTAAACTCTTCTGTTTTTCAAATTAGCTTCCTGTTGCTTTTCTTCTTTTCGACGGGCTTCTCGGATTTGCCTCAGCATTGGCAATCCTGGTCTGATGTCTTGTTGGACATTAATGAAGGAATCAGACATATAGTCCTCTTCTTCCGCCATGTTCAACTTCATATGGCAAAAGTATCTGGTAGCTCTATTCGCCCCGGGTCAGCTTCGACAATTGCATTTTTATGATTACATCTTAATTTCAAAATTTATATGTATAAACTGAATCAAATGTAAACTTTCTACACCTTGAATGGAGGGATATATTTAAAGATCATAATTGAAAAGATGTGTGAATGTAAATCTCTGGGTTTCCATGATAATATTTGTTTTTTTGTCTGTCCATGGATTTTAATCAACAGAATGACTATGTGGTTGAAACCAGTTTGGTTGGGACTGTGATGAATGGTTTGTCACATCTTCGTGGATGCAAAAATCATGAGCAGTTTGTTATTAGTCTCATACGGGGGCTTGGTGGAAACCTGAACATGAAATCCCGCCTGGAGTTCACCAAAGAGGTGATGCATATTTAACACATGTGTTCAGTCAGTGTTTTCTTTAATTTTCATCGACTCCTACTTGTCAAAATATAGTGATTTGTAGCTGTACTAAGCCTATTACTTTCGAAATGAAGCATTCAATAGAATAATAATGCGTTTATCGATATGTACATATAAACATATATACTTACTTTCTCCTTTGAACTAGTTTATGATATTTTATGATTTTATTAAAATTTTATAAAGTAATGTTTTAACAGGCTGTAGTTTGGACCATATCTTTATTGTTAGACATGTTTGAGGCTACTTAGCCATATGACTAAATATAATTATTTAAATCATTTTTAATTGTAGAATAATACATATTTTTAACCATGTGCTTAACCAGAACAGTTTTGGCATTTAAAAATGCCAGGATGGATTCAGCATATTTTCCTTAATACATTTAAAGGTATATTTCAGAGCCACTGTCCTCCTCTCCCTCTGCCCCTTCCCCACTCACACTCTCTATTTCTCAAAAATAAACATAAAAAAAACCCACGTCATTTAAAAGTTGAATGTATTTATATCTTGGTGTATGTGCAGACTAGATGACTTATATTTTTTGCCTCAGTGATGATTTAGAGAAGAATAATTGACATAAAATGTTATCTTAATTATCAAAGATATTTGGTAGCAAATTTTTGTTGTTAAACTAAGATGACTGACTTTGGGACATTTACTTTGAAGAACTAAAATTTCACATACTCGTGGAGTTGGAGTATCTATCACAACTTTTTCCTCTTAAGGTTTTTACTTGGGCACGAGAGTCTCCTCCAGACCCTCACAAACCAATGGATACCTACTATGACTCAGGTCGGGGGCGACTAGCATCTTACGTGCTGAAGAAGCCGGAAAACTTGACCGCCGATGATTTCAGCAACAGCCAAACTCTCCCCGTCATTCAGATTCCTGACATGCAGCGAGGCCTGGATTATTTCAAACCCTGGTTAAGTTCTGATACTAAACAGCCATTTATTCTTGTAGGACCAGAAGGATGTGGCAAAGGGTAAGAGCAGAAAAATGTTGACTGAAGTGCATATTGTGGATTTGTACTCCTCTCCTCACGTGAAATCGTTTCACAGCCCTGTTACCTTTCTTTTGGTTAAAGTGGCATTTACATTTTCATGGAGGACTCTTTCCATTGTCACTACTTGTAGAAATAATACGACTTTAGATTAGATTAGAGAAGAATATATCTTTTTTTTCCTGCCAGGTTATGTGTTTTCTAGGGGAAAGAGAACGATCTGGGAAGATAGTCTTCAAAAGAAAATGAGTGTACAATCACCACAAAAACTGAACCCCTTCGATATATTTACACATTGTTATTTGCTTTAGTTATAAAAAATGAATCTTGAAGTTAGCTTTCTACTTAAAAATAGCTTTTATATCAGTGTAATTCAGCTGTTTTTCGTGTCTACTGAGTGTAGTTTCTGAAAGGAAAAGAGACATGGCTTATTAGGTTCACATTTTTAGTAGGAATTTAAAAATTCTATAAAATCGTTGTACTTTTTTTTTTTTTAAACTCTTCAACTATAGGAAACCAGTTGGTATCTTTTGTATGTACTTTATCAAATTAAATTATTTCTGTAAACTTTGTTTTTGCTGAAGGAGTTTCAAGGGTGCTTTAACATACAAATGTATTTTTTTATATTGTAAAAATTAGAAAGTTGCCTGTTTGTTAAGCCACATCCGTGTTTACCACTTTCCCTGTAAACATCATCATATATAATTTAGAAACTGCAATATTTATAAAAAGAGGAATTTTATGTGGAATATAAGCGGCATGTTATATTTGAGCACGTTCAACACACAAAGGCAAATGTCCTTCCTCTCCCAGGATGCTGCTGAGACACGCCTTTTCCCAGCTCCGGTCCACTCAGATCACCACGGTTCACTGTAGCGCGCAGACCACGCCTCGACACCTCCTGCAGAAGCTGAGCCAGACTTGCCTGGTGATCAGTACCAACACCGGTCGAGTGTACAGACCGAAAGACTGTGAAAGACTTGTTTTGTACTTGAAAGATCTCAACCTGCCCAAGCTGGATAAGTGGGGGACCAGTACTTTGGTTGCTTTCCTACAACAGGTGGGTCTTATTGCTTGAATGTTAGCATATAACTGGAAACAACTTAATTTCATTACCTTTCCTTCGAAAACCCGCTTTCCTCCTCAGGGCCGGTTTTGTCCAGTATGTTAATGGAAACTCAACCCCTGACGCATGTAGCGATCTTGTTCCAGGGCTGTCTTTTTTCTTTTTAAAGTTTTTATTTTTAAGTAATATTTCCACCCAACGCAGGGCTTGAACTCACGACCTGAGATCAAGAGTCTCGTGCTGCACCAACTGAGCCAGCCAGGCGCCCCTAGAAAGCTACTTTCTTTGACCTTCTTCCTTGTAAAAGTTAGTATTACGTGGAGGTGATACATGACAGGAAGAGTGAAAACAGCCTTGCCCTATGCTTGTTACCTGTCCTTTATTCCTAAATAGCAGGGAAGCAGAAGCTGGGGTGGATGTGGGATTTAGGGGGAGTTGTGGCTTCGTTTTTCTCGTAATTCCTTCTTCAGAGAACAGGTAGACTCGTGCCCCTCTCTGGCTTCTTCAGCTCATGGCTCTCCGTCTTTACCTATGGAATGGCAAAGGTTGGAGACCATATGTTCTGTCAGTGTGGTTTCCATCACATTAGAAGCCCTAAGGTCTACATTAGAGTTTATTCTGTTTCTGTGGGTTCAAATTTAGCTTTACTATGTAACCGTAGAATATGATACAAAATTTATAGAAGAAAACCAAAATATTTTCCTTATGTTTTTCCTGATTTCTTTTACTTTTTTACCGATAATTGCTGGTAGATTTATAGTGTCATCTGGTTTTTAATGTTTATTAGAAAAGACATTTTTAAAATGAGGCTCATTCAGCTAACATTAATTGAATACATAGTCTTCAAGAGTATTATTCTTCAAGCTTAAATTCTTGAGTTGGATAGAGGATGATGGCTGCATTTGGAAACACTTGAATTTCGTGCAAAAATATTTTCTATCAGAATTAGAAAAATCCTAAGCATAAAACATTTAAAATACATTTATTTTCAAATAGGTATTGACATATCAAGGATTTTATGATGAAAATTTGGAATGGGTTGGTTTAGAAAATATTCACATTGTGGCTTCCATGTCAGCTGGAGGAAGACTGGGAAGACATAAGCTTACCACCCGATTTACTTCTATTGTCCGTCTCTGTGCTGTGGAGTATGTATCTCTGTGTTTTTCATTGTTTTTCCTTTGGGGAGCTGTCTTAGATATTTGAATTTTATTGAAGGTATCCATTAATGATATTTCCTCAAAATGAAGAATATAAAAATACTCAGAACTTAAGTTCTGATATTTTTTTCCCTGTCCTTCCTAAACTGAAGGTGTTAATCAGCTCTTCGTAAATATTAGAAATAAAACACAACTGTTTTGTATCATTTCTGTTCTAAAATATCATATCAGTGTTAGGAATTTGAATGGTCGATTTTAGAATTAAATATTTTACGGGTTTCATAGAACAAAAGCAGTACCCATTTTATGCAGAGTGCACGAGGTGGAGTCGGTCACGTTCGCCGTGGCGGCATTAACCCTGATGCGTGCATCCAGTGCCACGGCCCATCGTTGTCCCAGGGACTTGCGGGCTGTATGGTTATAGCACTTGTCCTGTGTTCCATTGGGCCTACACAATCTTATTTTCATGCTAATTGAAACTATAACCATCTATAACATTCTACTTTCAGAAGTGTTAAAGCCATCAGTTAAGCTGTAATGAAATAGATTTCGGTTTGAGAGAAACAAGTTGATTTCATTTGTGTGAATAGTTATACTTTTATGGTTCTGAGATGGATTAGTGCTCTATGGGTAGGCTCTACTCGACTCAAAATACTTTTTTTCTTGAGAAAAATATACCTTTTTGTCTTTTCTAAAGATCATGGTTTTCAAATAATTGTGTTTCTAAGTAATTTCACTGGGATCTTCTGGTAGGACCCTCTGTTTCACAGCAGATACGTAGAGAGGTCTAATGTGGTTGAAGTCAGAGTAGGGACCATGAGCCTATCCTTAGTCCCCGGGGAAACCTCTGGTGTCTAAATCTCAGGGCAGCACATTGGGAAAACCACTGCTGTAAGTGAACATTAAAATAATTTAGAACGTTGATTCTTCTAAAATAATTTTCTGATATGTCCTTTTTCAGTTACCCAGAAAGAGAGCAGTTACAGACAATCTATGGAGCATATTTGGAACCAGTTCTATATAAAAATCTGAAGAATCATCCTATTTGGGGTTCTTCATCAAAAATCTATCTCTTAGCAGGGTCTATGGTACAAGTGTATGAACAGGTATATATATTCATTTATGTTGTTCTTACCATGTCTATTGGTTCCCGTCCCAAAGGACTGCCTTTAGTGCTGGCTTATGTCGACACTTCAGCTTTCTTTCCCTTTTCTTTACTAGACTTTTCTACTTGGGGAGTGGGCTCTGTGAGGGCATGTGCTCCGTGTGCTTTCTTCACTATTGACTCCCCTGGCACGGTTTCTAATAGACAGTCAGTATTGAATGAATGGATCACTGGTAGATGGTTGGTTATTCTGTTACCTGCTAAAATTTAGCATGTTCAGAATGTTCTTCTTCTTTCCCAAACTACATCTTTCTCCTGACTTCCATCAGTTTCTGTCCTCTAGGCTTCAAACCCGGAGTAGTCTTTGAGGTTTCTTTCTTTCTTGTTGCCTGTGAGGAAATGTCTCAAGTGTGTTTCCTCGGCAAAGTGGGGACAGTGCTAAAAACAGGCGTTGCGGATGCAGAAGACGTCTGTTGAGTACCTCCTTTTCTAGCACTGGTCCTAAGGGTGCAGAGATGACGGAGTCTCTGTTCTCTGGAAGCTCACAGACCAGTGAGGGGCCCAGTCACGTACGTGAACTATTAATACAGTGTGATGAATGTAACAGTGACAACATGCGCAAGTTGCAGAGACGGTGTAGAAGAAGTGAGTAACTTTGTTGTGCGTGGTAGTTGTTAAGGAGAGCGGAAGTGTGATGTGAGTTTTGAAAAGTGAACAGAAATTCAACGTGGCTGGAGAGGAAGGATCTTCCTAGGAAAAGGGACCGGTGTGTGAAAGTCAGGTTGGTATGTGTGGAAGGTGCCCCGTGTAGTTTGGAGTAGAAGTGGGGAAGCAGAGTCAGCGAGCAAGGGTTCCTTCGTTTCGATTTTGAGTGAATGGAGATGTTACGTGACCAAGGCCACAATGAGAGCAGTGGCTCTGTGGGTGGGGGAGGGAAGGCACCGGTCCCGGCGGGTTGTGCATCAGGCAGTGACACTGTGGTCCCTTAGAAGTTCAGTGACTCTGTGAGCAGAAGGCAGCTCTGGAGTTCCCAATGCCGGGAGCTGTGTTTTCCGGGACCTGCGGGGCTGTGGCATCGCAGCCCCTGTGCAGAAAGCTTAGGTTTGCCTTCCTCAGGCCCCTTTCGTTGGCATGGTTCTTTACCTCTCATGTTATTTTTTCTGTGGTCAGCCTTTGCAGTTTGCTGAAGCCTTTGAACAGCCCCTGTTGGATATTTTTAAATGCATAAAATATTAAGATAACTACGGAAATCAGTTCTATTGAAATACAGTTTCTACTGACTAGTACAAATTGGGCATTCCTGTGAGTCTATGGTGACTGAAAAGCTTATAGCATTATTACATATTTGGAAATATATTACAAATACTTACATATTACATATTTAGACAGCAGACAGATGGTTTACTGCACTGTCTTTTCCAGGTACGGGCCAGATTTACAGTTGATGATTATAGTCACTATTTGTTTACTCCGTGCATCCTTACCCAGTGGGTTCTTGGCTTATTCAGATACGATTTAGAAGGAGGTAAGGTTTTCTTTCATTATTTTAAATCACTTACCTTTCTCTGGAATGCCACAGCGTATCTGTGTGTGCGCACGTGTGTGTTTATGTTATGTACTGTGTTTGTAATAGGTATGTTAAATGAGTATTTAATTGATGACAGTATTCTAAAAATTACAATTAAAATTATGTTAATATCAAATTTAAACATTAACATTCAATTTAAACCTTAATATTGAAATATAACATCGTGGCTTTTCTTCTAAACTTTATGATCGTCACTGTTAAAATTTGATTTGGGAAAAATAAAATCATTATTCGTGTTTGATACTCTTTTTAGAATTAGTATTTTTATTGAACTAGGGATAATGATGCTTACTGTATTTTATAAATGATCAAAACAACTTTACCAACTTATTAACACATTGAATTTTAATTTTTTCCCCTTTTCTTCTTTGTATCTGACGCCAACGTGACGGTATGCAGATTCTCATTCTTTATTTCTTTCTAATACTGTGTTGAAACAGACTATTTGCAGGTCATTTGAACTTTCTTAGAACTAAAGAAAATGTTCTCTTTTTTAGGGTCCTCAAACCATCCACTAGATTATGTGTTAGAAATCGTAGCGTATGAAGCACGGCGCTTATTTCGTGACAAAATTGTTGGTGCAAAGGAACTTCATTTATTTGACAGCATTTTAACATCAGTGTTTCAAGGAGATTGGGGCTCAGATATATTAGATAATATGGCAGGTAATCTTTGTGGAGTTTATGTGAATATATAAATATTTTGAGAACCGTACCCTTATTTTTCTTACTAATAGCATGATTTCATATACTATACAAGTGAAAAGTTTGGATAATTTTAATGTTTTTTTTACTATAAGCAAATGCTCTTTTCCTTTTTGCTAGATTTCAATAATCATATGCTAAATAAAATATAATGACAATAATTGTTTTCTTGGATTTAGCCATAGTGTTTTATATTTTTAATTCAGAATTCTATTTCCTGAAGGATTTTTACTGGCAAATGTTTTTCTCAAGCCATATGTGTAGGAAACTTTGAGACCATTGGGAAAATCCGTATTTTGATTATAGTTAAGCTTTGCATTCTCCTGGCTGTCACTGCTCACGACATCGTCAGCATAGAGCTTCTCTCAGGCTCTGGTTACTGGCTTCGCCCCTGGTAGGACAGGCTGCGTGTAACGCCACTCCCCGCCGGCAGCCCAGTTGCTTTGGCATCTGTTACCGCTTAATCACCAGGCTGCGCTCTGAAGATTGCTCAGGGGGTGGTTTGTGTGATGGGAAAGCCATCACAGCGAAAGGGCTTTTGGTACCGTAACGTGGAGACTGTAACGTGGAAGTATTTCCCAATAAACCCGTTTCAAGCTGCAAAATGAGTTTCTGTCCCGTTAGACTGTCTCATGTAGTACGTTCTACATCTACGTTGCCAGATTTGACTGGTCCCAGGGTCATGGTTGCATACAGCCAAAGGGGATCTGGACTGTTAGGAAGATGTTGAGCCTGACAGAGGGAATTTTCTTGGAGCTGCTAGAGTTTCAGAATCAGGAAGTGAGTTGGAGAAGCGAGGCAGGTTGGCATGCCTGGTGGTAGTTGGAAGTTGGCTTGATTTTGAGTATGGGTTTGTCAGGGCTTCCTGGAGTTCTCATTGTGTGGCGTGGAGAGCTTTGTTTTCTAACCGGTGCGGTCTTTCTCAGTCTGAGAATTGGGTGTGTAGTGTCTCTTCTTGCAGAGAAAGGAGCATGTCCTTTGGGCCTTAGATAGTGTCAGTGTCTTATTGGGTATTTGAATTCTCTAGCGTTTGTTATCTTTCAGAGCCTCCTTTGTAGGACTCAGTAAATAATATATGCTTTTTTTCCCTTACCATTTTACTTTCCAAGGAAAGATTGCATTTTTAAAAAAGTATAGCCTTGATATATGTTCTGTGTAGGCAAATGAGATTTTCACATAGTGGAGTATTAAGAAAAATTTAATCTCGGAGAGTTAAAAATAAATGAGGTACATCCCTGTGCTCAAGAAACGTGTAATCTAGTGGTAGATGCAGATGTGAAAGTCTTTGTTTGCAATGGTAGCTATTGATAGTGTGTTTAGACGCCATGAAAATTTGTGCAAGTAGTTAAACTGTTAATTATAATAGAGAATGAAGTGTTGTACGATTAATCTAACTTTTCTGAATATATTTGGGATAAATGCTAGATGGTAGATATGTAGAAGAGGTAGAGACTAATTCTTTTTTGAGGGAGCTACTTTCAAGCTTTTTAAAATGAATTTTTTTGGGACGTCTGGGAGGCTCAGCCTGTTGGGTGTCTGACTCTTGATCTTGGCTCAGGTCACAATCTCAGGATTCATGGGCTCGAGCCTGGAGTTGGGCTCTGCACCGACAGTGCGGAGCCTGCTTGGGATTCTCTCTACGTCTCTCTCTGCCTCTCTCTGCTCCTGCCCCGCCGGTGTGCTCTCTTTATCCCTGTCTCTGTCAAACAAAACAAACTTAAAAAGAAAAGAATTTTTTATCTTGTGATCATCGTAGATTAACCTACAGTTGTAAGAATTTACACAGACCGAGCACACGTGCCCTCTACGTGGTCTGTCCGTGGTAGCAGCTGGCAGAATTACAGTACAACGTCTCGGACAGGGTGTTGGCATCGCTCCCGTTTCATACAGAATGTCACCACACAGCTCTGTCGTGTCGCCCTTTTGTGGCCACATCTGCTGCTCCGCAAACCACCCTTCTGTTCTGTGTTTAATTTTGCCGTTTCTCGCTTGCGATCAGAATAATTCTCCGCAGACCCGTGTGGGTGGCTTGGGGTTTCAGTGGTTTGTTCCTTCTTAGTGCTGAGTAGGTGTTCGGGTACACTTCCGTTTCCCAAACGCTTTACTTGTCGAAGGCCATCTGGGTTATGTTCGGTGTGTGTTAGACCGTTAGGAGGAAGGTGCTAGAACAGCCCATGTAGGGGTTTTTACGTGAAAATACATTGTTTGTCCGGGATAAATGGTCATCCGTGCACTTGTGGGAGCGTCCGGTGCTTCTGTGCTCGGTGTTTGAAAACCACCGCCTACTCTTTCCTACAGTGGCTGTGCCACTTCCCATCCCCATCAGCAGTATGACGTAAGCCAGGTGCTGCACATCCTCACCAGTGTTTGGGGTTGTCTCCACTGTCCTCCAGTCAGCCGTCCGGTAGCGTGTCTGGGTGTGTCATCGCAGTCTGTGCTCCGCCAGCCGCCACTGCAGCTGGACGTCTTCTCGGGCTCCTTCGCCACCTCTGTATCCTTTCAAGTGACATATTTCTGTGTGCGTCTTATTCACTTTCTCTTGGGATGGTTTATCTTTATTGTTGAGTTTTGAGCGTTCTTTGTATATTACAGACACTAGCTTTTCGTTAAATACATGGTTTGCAAACACACTCTCCCCCACTGTCACTTGTCTTTTCATCCTTTTAACAGGGTCTCCCACAGCTAAGTATTTTAATTTTACGAAGCACAACTTACTATTTTTTTAATGGTTATTTATTTTGAGAGAGAGACGGTGTGAGCAAGGGAGGAGCAGAGAGAGAGATGGAGACAGAGAATCCCAAGCAGGCTCCGAGCTGTCAGCACAGAGCCCAATGAGGGGCTCGAACTCAGGGAACTGTAAGATTGTAATCTGAGCCAAAACCAAGAGTCGGACACTTAACCGACTGAGTCACCCAGGCACCCTGTCTTGTTAATTTTTTTTAAGGATCTTTTGGTGTCAAGTTTAAGAATTCCAACTGGTCCTATATCCTGAAGACTTTCTCCTGCATTTTTTTCCTAAAAGTTTTACGGTTTTGTTTTAAGTCAGTGGTCCGCTCTGAGTTAATTTCTGTATAAAGAGTGAGACGGGGTCACTTTACTTGCTGATGGATGCCCACCTGCTCCAGGGCCATTGTTTGAAAAGGGAACTTTGCTCCCTTGACTTGGTTTTGCCCCTTTGTCCAAAATGGGTTTGTGTGACTATATTTCTAGGTTCTCTGTTTTTTTCCATCGATTTTATGTCTGTCCTTCCACCAGGACCCCGCTGTCTTGATTCCTGTCAAATAATAAGTCTTGAAATTGGGATGACTCACTTCTACTTTCTTGTTCTTTTTTGGAGTTGTTGTAGCTATTTAAGTTCCTTTGACTTTCTAGATCTATTTTACGGTAACCTTACCTACAAATATGGTTGCTAAGCTTTTGATAGGAATTGCATTAACTCTGTGTATTGGTTTGGGGAGGATTGACACCTTCATTATGTTGAGTCTTCCTTTCCGTGAACATGATTTATCTGTCTGTTTATTTGGATGTTCTGTGTTTTCTTTCCTCAGTGTCGTCTAGTTTTCACCATGTAAGTGTCGTACGTACCTTGTTAGATTAACACCTACGGTTGTACAGTTTTTGAGCACTGCAGACGGTGACAGTGTGTGAGGATGATTCTACAGAGTGAAGTGGAGGGAAGGGCATTCCAGACACGGGACAAGCATATGTGTAGAATCACCGGCTAAGGGAACTGGAGTGTGCAGTGGGATGCGGATGCAGACTGGAGGTGCAGGTGGCCAGTGGAGGCAGATTAGATGCAGATGAGGAGTTGGGCTGTTTGTCCTCAGGCGGTGGGGAGCTCTGTGCCGGTGGAGTGCTGGGGCACAGCCCGCCTGCCGCCTGTCGTGTGCTTCTCTGGGAGTGGCGAGGGTGTAGCCAGAGGGACAGAGGCTCGAGGCAGGGATCTGAGCCGGGTGAGGCACGATGACACATGGAGACGATGAGTTCAGTTTTCTGTGTTTCAGGTTTGCAGGTGTCTTGAGTGTCTTTGGGGGCATCCTTGTAAGGTTTGTCAGGTCTGGGAGGGTAGGGTAGCGGCCGTGTCTTTCTGTCTCCTTCTCTCCAGCAGGGTTCTCCCTGCAGAGAAGTGCAGGGTTGAAACTCAGGTGTGCCGTAGGCAAGCCTGTCAGGCATGTCTGGAACACCTGGAAGTTTGGGAGCACACGAGAGCTTGGGACACTTGCCCGGAGAGAGGTGGTGAGTAGGTTTGGGCCTAGAGGCCGTCGCTGGTTCAAGGCACAGAGCAACATGGAGTAATTCAAGGGGGGTGGTTAGGATTAAAGAAGAGCAGGCTGAGTTTGGATCCCAGGGGAGGTGAAAGTAAAAGGGATAGGCAGGAGACTGATGACACGTGGCCGGGGCCTGATGAGCGCGGGTGTCCAGGGGCAAGGGACACGCTCCGGGAGCCCAGCGGGTGATGAGGGCGCCTTGACCACGATGGAGGTGTGGTCTGGCGGTCCCGGCGGGGTTTCCCAAGGCGGGGCTGTCGTGCGGTGCGTCCACAGCTGACAGATGAGGCAAGAGAAAGGAGAGAAGCTCAAAGAAGCTGGGGTCCCGGATCTTACGGCCTCGGGGCCCAGCCTGCGCCGGCGAGGGTCTGTGCCCACACGCGTCGGGAGGGGAGAGGTGTGCAGACTTTCGTGTGTGCTCATGGGGGCGCCCCTGTGAGGGCTTTCAGGGGGAGCTTCTGGGGGGTTTGTTTGCTACTTAAAATTCAGCGAATTTTTCTTTGAGAATTAGGGCTGTTGATGGTAGTAATAAATTTGTGTTCTTGCACATGGAGAGTTTTGAGTTTGTTTTATATGCCAATTTTATATGTTTTAATCTACAATTTATATGGACATTCTGGAGAAGGAGAAGGAAAAAGGGAGAAATGGTGGAAGTGAGAACCCTAGGGGAGCATTAGGAGGAAGATGTTTCATTTGGGGAAGAAGTGGGGTCGGAGATAGAACAGGGACACCATCAGTTCCTTTTCAGTAGTAGTTTGATAGTGCAGTGAGCTGTGGGTGCTGTAACTGAGTCGATTGATCTTATGAACTACGCTGTATAGGAATTTACCTTTGTGTTTCTGGGGATCGTCTTACTTGGGCTGATGAACTTTTCAAGTTTAGTGAGCGGGGTGCACGGGTGGTGCAGGCAGTTGAGCATCCACCTCTTGGTTTCCGCCCAGGTCTTGATCCCAGGGCATGGAATTGAGCCCTGCGTTGGTTCCATGCTGGGTGTGGAGCCCGCATGAGATTCTCTCTCCCTCTGCCCCTGTCCCACACTCTTACGCCATCTTTCTCTCTCTCAAAATAAAAAATAAAAGTTAAAAAGGAGCAATGCAGTTCCTGATGCTGCCATTACAAATAACACACAGAAAACAGAAGAATACCTTTTATTTCTACAGACAGTTTCTATGTTACGTGGGGAGCCCGACACAGTTCAGGAGCAAGGCCAGCCCCTGGGCAGCCCCTGCCTCCACACGGAAAACCGCTTGGGAAACTGAGCTCTGCAGATCTCAAGGATGTTATTAAGAAGGTATAATATCAATCAGGAATTTGAGTTGGGGTTTTGTTATGATTGCAGGCATTTAAAAAGCATCTTGTGGGGCGCCTGGGTGGCGCAGTCAGTTAAGCGTCCGACTTCAGCCAGGTCACGATCTCGCGGTCCGTGAGTTCGAGCCCGGCGTCAGGCTCTGGGCTGATGGCTCGGAGCCTGGAGCCTGTTTCCGATTCTGTGTCTCCCTCTCCCTCTGCCCCTCCCCCGTTCATGCTCTGTCTCTCTCTGTCCCAAAAATAAATAAAAAACGTTGAAAAAAAAAATTTAAAAAGCATCTTGTAAGCTTTTTGAGACTTGCAAAGATTATAAATTGACATTTTTGTAATTAAACTGATACTTCTCACTATGTCTTACTAGTTATATTGATGACGTTCACAAGTATGTGACTATTGTGAGGCCTTGAACTTGCTTGGCCTCATAGAAGTCTTTCTGGAGGAAGTGCCATAGACCTGGAATCCTGGTTAGGCTGTGGGGTGTGAGATGACATACAGTCACACTGAAGCCTTTCCCAGAGTGTATCAAAACTACACATCTTACTCTAGATAATTAACATTTTTATTCTATAATTGCGTATATATTAATTACAAAATATTCTTTGTGATTTTTTTTAAAAGGGCCTTATTCATTATGGACGAGATAACCAGATGTTAGATATTTTACTTTTCCAAGAAGTCCTGGAGTATGTGTCCAGGACAGACAGAGTGCTGAGCTGCCCCGGGGGCTCCCTGCTGCTGGCGGGACGCAGCGGGGTAGGCCGCCGCACCGTCACGTCCTTAGTGAGCCACATGCACGGGGCCATGCTGTTTTCTCCGAAGATCTCCAGAGGGTATGAACTGAAGCAGTTCAAAAATGATATCAAACATGTGAGTTACTCAAAGTCTTTTGCTTTATTTGGTTTTACATCACAATTAGTTATCCTAGAAGCCTTCAGAGAGAACGTCACGTCTCTGAGATGCAACATAATCTTTAATTTTGATGACTATTTTCCCCGTGGCTATTAGAAAATTCTATTTTTATGTACACATAGAAAAAAGATTCTTCATACGATTTCTAGCTTTCAGGTACCCCAGATTATGAGACATTAGGTGGGCATGGAAGATCAAAGGATAGAATTTCTGTAGGACATATGAGGATATGTTTAAAAATGATCATCTGTCTTAGTTGTAAAATAATTAAGATTTCCCTCAACTATTTGTTCGTGGACTGGATTTATTTTCCAAACTCTATGGCTAGAGTTTAATTTTTCGTTTTGGGAACAGAGAGGGAGAGGGAGGGAAGGGAGGAGGAAAGAGGGAGGGAAGAAGGAAGGAAGGATGGAGGGAGGAGGAAAGGAGGAAGGAGGGGAAGAAGGAAGGGGAGGAGTTTCCTTACATAAAGGACAGAAGTCTGCCCGTGCTGCCGTGTGATTGGTGCGAAATGAGATTTTGTGATGGTGCAGGTGCTGTATCTTGCCGGTGTGGAAGCTCAGCAGGTGGTTTTACTTCTTGAGGACTACCAGTTAGTCCATCCCACCTTTCTGGAGATGATCAACAGCCTCTTGTCTTCAGGCAAGTGCATGATTTCTATTCCGAAAAGTAAAAATAGTGATGTAAAAATTATTCAAATAAATTACCTTGTGTAAAAGTATGTCTCAGAGAACATTTGGCTTGGGTTTTACTAAGTTGACGTGGGGTGAAACGCTCCCACAGCTGGAGAGTTGTGAAGCCTCATTTTTATAAAACCAAGAGACGGAAGGATTACATAAACAGGATTATTAATGTCGGTGAATGTTCCGAAGAGCTGCCATCTCACCTGCTTCTGGTGGGACTGCTGGCTGTTACCTTTTGGGAAAGCTCCCAGCCAGTGCTTGTTTAAAAAAACGTGCCCTTGAATACAGCACTTTTATTATCTGTGGAAATAATCGAGTTAGTGTGCAGGGAAACACATGGTCCAACTTATAAGAAAACAATCTGATGGGCCCTCACTGTCCAGCATTAGTGCAGTTGCTGAATAATGGCCTTCGTACGGGTGTGTGAATGCGGGTACATTTTCCGCCTCTGAGGCCTCCTGTTTCCCAAATTGTGGTCCGCTTCTGTTGTCTGTTGAGCCACCTGGCCTTTTCTGTGGCTTCCTGGAGAAGACACTTGCAGTTTCCCACGTGTCTCCCTTTTCCGAAGAATTTATGAAATTTATTAGAATCTCTTCATGAGTAATCATGGTTAGAGTTGGTATGAGGTGGCTTAGTTTTAGACTTGGACCGAGATTGTTTTGTTATTTAAGTACAAGATAAACCTTGTTAAAAGCGAGTTTCAGCTGCATGAGTTAATCCATTGTGGAGACTTGCAGACAGACCTACGTGATGCGTTGGCCCTGGTAAGCTCTGAGATGAGTGGTCTTTTTTTTTCCAGAACTTAGCAGCTTTGGTTGATGAAAACATTTAATTTCTAGGCCAAAGTGTCTCTACACTTGGGTGTTCCACTGAGAGCAGACCGGGACTCTAGAGGACAGGTGGCCGGCCAGTCTCTGGCACAAGTTCCGCGGCTGCTGTGGTAGGAGCGAGAGGTCCTGGGCGTGCTTGGGTGTCAGGACCTTCTCACGGCATAACCTCCTGAGATCTTGCTGCTGTGTTTCCTGCACACCACTTCCCTTGTCACTAGATGGAGGCCTTTCATTAGGGATGAGATAGACTGGTCTACCAATACACAGCTTTTTGTTTGGGGTTTTTCATTTTGTTTTGTTTGTGAAAGCAAACATGCAGATGAGCGCTGATGTGGGAATTATTGTTTTTATCTTAAGATAAGTTGGGCGTTGTCATCAAGTTATAACTGCAAAAATCATAAGCTAAATTTTATCGACATTTTTAGCAAAAAAGTATTTGAAAAATATTTTCAGAGAAAATAGACCTTTGTCTCTTTTTTTGTGTTTTAAACTCTTATTTTCTATAGAGGGGGTTTACGCATGTAAGTAGAGCTAACTTTTCTTGTTAATTTGAAGGAGTCAAAAGTGTCTAGGCATGGCTGAAATTTATGGCAAGACGTAGAGTAGATTTGTGTGTGCGTGTGTTTGGATACGTACCAGCTTGGGGGATGGGCAGCATTCCCACACCTCTGAGTTGACCCTGAAGAAAAGTAGGGTCTGCCTGTGGTGGGACCTGCATGAATGCCCTGCTTTGGACATGTGGCCCAAGGGTCATCTTAGAGTTTCTTGCAAACTTTAAATATACTGGCTTAACAGAGATTTATTAGACACCTGTTATGTGCCAGATCTGGTTCTAAATACTGGGTTTATAGAGGTGAATAAGATATAATTCAGCCCTCTATTAAATACTCGTAGTCTTAATCCAGTTTGATTTGCCTTATAGCAGGGCTAAGGGTTAGTTCTCCTGATGCATAATGCAAGTTCACCCATCCATCCATCTATTCATCCATCCATCCATTCATTCATTCATCTAATAAACATTCATGTTCCAGGTACTTTGCTAAGTATGTTCTAAGATAAATGTTGAACATGATCAAATATTTGTCCTCTGGGAATTCAGAAGCTGATTGAAATACTTCATGATTACATGATGTGATAAATGCTGAACTGTGATATGTTTAGATACGTGGAAAAAAAAGATCCTTCCCCAGTGCACGGGAGTCAGGGAAGGCTCATGGGCATGGGGGTCGGTACAGGAGTGTCTCATAGGGCAACAGGAAATATGGGGGGGGGAATGGGCAGAGGAAGGAAGATTGTGGGTATAGATTCACTATATTTATGGAACACACAGAAGTTTAGATGCTGGAATACAAGGTCTTGAATGCGAGGGGCAGAGAAGCAGCAGGAGAACCTGGAATGATGGCTACATGGCTAGATTATCCACTGTCTTGAATAGCTTGCTTAGGAATCTGAGTTTTATCAAATGAAGGCGACAGGTAGGTTTGTGAGTATAGAGGCGATAGGATCATTTACTTTTGTAAACAGCTTGAATAAGAGCAGACTAGTACAAACACAGAGGAGGTATTGTAGATGTAAAACGTGTTTGGATTAGGGTATGCAGCTAAAATTCAAAAGAAATGCAATATTCCATAGGTGAAGTTCCTGGACTTTATACCCTTGAAGAATTAGAGCCTTTGCTGTTGCCTCTTAAAGATCAGGCTTCACAGGATGGTTTTTTTGGACCAGTCTTCAGTTACTTCACATACAGTAAGTGACTATATTCAGTTAATCAATTCAAACTCTGGTTCATGTGAAATAAATACCATTTAATTTGCTGTATTTGCTAATTAGGTTGCAAAGGTATCTTAAATCTTGGGTCTGTTTGGTATTTTGGTACTTTTTTCTTTTTCATGGTGCTTTTAGAAAACACGTAAGTTGCCTGAAGGCTTACCTATAGTAAAAGCATGTTAGCACAATTTTAGCAGAAGAGAAGGCAGAAAGTGTTCTAATGTTCTTTGGAATATTTACTTTGCTGCTTTTCTTTCTGTATGGTAAAAGTGGTGCTTAGGACCTCCTATCTTAGAAAATTCTGAAACTGTTTAGATTTTACCAGACTCTATGCTTTTTTTTTTTTTTAATGAAACAACTTTTTATTATCACAGAAGCAGTTTTATGTGCACTGTAGATATCTAAAATTGAATAAGTAAGTATAGGCAATGATATCATCACCCAGACATCACTACTACATTTATTTCCTTTTTTTCCCTAAAAGACCATTTATTATTGACATAGAGGAGTTGTTAGAGAGCTACCCTCCCTTCCCTGTCAAGTTTACAAGGTAATTCTACCACATCGCTAAGAAACAGATCATCCCAGTGCTATTTGAAACAATTTCAGAACATAGAAAATGAAGGAGAAGTTTCCAAATTCCTTTTTATGACTTATTTATATTGAAACAGGGAAAATATGTCTCCTAAAAGACAATCAGAGATCAATTTGCTTGTGAATATTGAAACTAAAATCCTTGAAAGAAAAATTGTAAAGTAGAATCCAGTATCATAGTTGAAAAGTAACATACAAAACAGCAACATGGTATATACACTTCTTCCTGAATTCCTTCTGGATCTTTCTCTTAACGTGAACATGCATGCGTGCGCACACACACATACACGTGCGCGCACACACACACACACACACGTATACACTTCTTCCTGAATTCCTTCTGGATCTCTTCTCTTCACATGGGTGTGTGCATGCGCATGCACACACACACAAGTATTTTTTAACAAAAGAAAAGATCATAAGTAGAATACTGTTTTATATAGCTTGTTTTTTGTAACAGCTACCATGTCATTTCAGAAATTGTTAAACTCATAAAAGTAGACCACATAAGGATTTCTCCAATTACTATTGTCATAATATGCATGATAATGATTTTCTTATTTTTTTTTTAAGGAATTCAGCAAAACTTGCATATTGTCTTGATAATGGATTGTACGAATTTAAACTTCATAATAAACTGTGAGAGTAACCCAGCCTTGCATAAAAAATGCCAGGTGTTGTGGATGGAGGGCTGGTCAGACAGCAGTATGAGGAAAGTAAGTTCAATCCTGAAGTATGGAAATGAAAAATAAGCATATTCTTTCTGAAGTTACTGATTTTCACAACTCCCTCTGGTGTTTGTTATAATATTGTCTTAATTGTGCCACTGACCATAACACGTTTGAAAGCCTCTCCCTTCTCTTTATGTCCTGTACTCAACTTTAGTTGAGTACAGAAGTTCACGTTGAAGATTATGTTCTCAGTTGAGGACTGCGTAGAAAGCTACTGTACCTTAATAATTGTATTCCTTTCATTAACTAGCCTATCATAAGCCAGCTTATAATAGAACATTGCAGCAATAATTTTAGCAGTTTTTTAAATACGAATTTTAAATCTCTTAATATCTCCCGTTGCCGCGCTCAGTGTCTGGAGGGGAGTGTGTTTAAAGTGTGAATGCGAACCACCATCTTTGCCTGGAAACCTTACGTTGCTTGATCCATAATAGTTTTAATGGCTCTGAATAGTACGTATATTCTTGACCATTCACGTCTTCATTTTTGGGTGATCGAGGTACAGACTGTTGAGTCAGACCATGAGTCAGAGGGAGGAATGTGGTTTGGGACAATGGATGGGGTTTTCCGGAAGAGAACATTTTAGTTAGATTTCAGCAAGTAAGGGACAGGAAAGTCATTCTAGTCTGAGGAGGTCCCGCGAACGAGGGGCTTCAAGAAGTAGTGATTACTGGGTCTGTTACAGGTGCCACCGTTCTGCACGTTGGGTCACAGCAGAGAAAAAGCAGACACCGGCCCCCGCCCTGGTGGGAGTCACAGTATCGCGGGGGGGGGGGGGTCCTCGGGGGCCGCTTGCTTTGTGAAGACCCCGAGAGGAGAGCGTGCCTGGTGATTGTGAGGGTCAGCCGGCAGCCGAGTGAGACGTCACGAGTGATTCAGAGGGAGCGCGGTTGGAGAGGGGGTGGGGGTAAGAGGACCGCGGTTAGGATGGGGCTTTGGAAGCTCTGCCTGGGGTTTTCCTTTCCCTGGAACGAGCCAGGGAGCCTTTGGAGGCTTTTCAGCAGGACCATTTTAATAATGTGTGAACGCGCTTACGTTGGCCTCCGGGGTGAGAACGGACTGTAGAGGGCGAGGGTCGGGCTGGTTTCAAAGCTGCCGCAGGCGCAGGCGAGAGGAAAGGACGACGTGCCTCGGGGACGTCGGGGAGCGGTGGTCGGATTCGGGACTGTTTTGCAGTAGAAACAGCAGGATTTGCTGACAGGTGTGCAGGGAAGCGAGCACTCCGGGATACTTCCAGGTACGTCGGCTCGCGTCCCCGGAGGGACCAGTCACCTGAGAAGAGACTGAGTAGAGCACGTCGGGAGGAGAACGTGAGGCTTCCGGTCTCCGACGTGCCTCGTACGAGACGCCGGACGTCCACGTGGCAGGGCGGAGCGGGCGTTTGGCTGGAGGGGCCTGGAGACGAGGGGGAGGCCGGACGTCGGGGATCCAACCCTGGGGATTGTCACGCTAGAGGCGGTGGCTGGAGCTGCGAGAGGGGACGATGCCGCCGGGGGACGGGTGTTGACGGACACCCGGGGGAGACGTTCAGGGCCCCGACGCGGCTCAGGGCCGTTCCCAAGTGGGCCTGCAGAGGGGGCGCCGCCGCGGCCGCGGAGGGGGCGCTCTGGGAAGTGGGAAGCAGTGCGGCGTCTGGCAGCGGGTGCCCGTGCCGGGGTGCGGAGGGCCGCGGCAGGGCGGTCGGTGACCGCCGTCAGACAGCGTCAGGTGGCGGTGGAAAAGGCCGTCTTGGAATGTGTCCCAGAGAGAAGAGGAGGAGGGAGGGCTGGAGAGAGCGAGTCCCGTCACCTCTCGTGAGGGAGAGAGAGACGGATCGGGAGCGGAGGGGAGGGGGGTAGAAACCATGCCCGTTTAGGTTTTGAATGTGAAGACGGGATTTCTGGCACCGTGCACGACGAGGTCGCAGGATGTGACCCTTGGAGGTGGGGGCGGTGGGGGGGGAGGTGGGAAAGGGAACAGGAGAGGAGCTCGAGGAACCGAGAGGCTGACGTGTTAACAGGAATCCTGAGAGTTACACGCCCTTTCAGTGCCTTTAGAGAGTGCCGTTTCTATCTGGGGGTGGGGGGGGGGGGGAGGGAGTGGAGGCACGGGGAACTGCGGGCCAGTCCAGGTAGGAGAACTTGGCTCAGGCGGCGTATGGTCTGGGGACGACTCTCTTCCGGCCAGCTCTGCCGAGGTGCGTTTGACGAGCGTGGTGCCTGTTGAATGTGCGCGACGGCACGTTTTGATACGTGTGCGCGTCGTGAGACGTTCACGACAGACGGGCTAACGGACGTAAGGGACAGACCGCTTTTAAGCAAGCGGGCTGCCGAAGAAACACACTTGAGTGGGTTTAGAGGGACATACTTAAAGTGTTCTCACGGAGGCTCCGACGTTTCGGCGGAAGGCGGTGAAGACGTTTGAGGAAAGCGCCGTGCTCCGGGTCGGGCACCCCGCTGCCTTCAGGCTCTTCACCCGTTGCGGGATCTTTTGTGTGACATGTGTTCGGTCTGGGAGATTCACAAGAGGATGTTTTGACCTGCACACCCGTGCTTTCCCGTTGCAAAAATGTCAGAGCTCTGCTTTAGTTTTTTCCTCAGGAAACGAAGACTTCTTTGCTTTTTTGTTGTTGTTGTTGTTATCTTAAATGAGTACTCTCACTAGATTATCGTATGTTCTCTAATAATGATCTGTTGATGAAACGTGATTTTCTTATTTGTGATAGTGCAGTAACACAGCAGTAGCTTTTAGGATTATCAAGCATGACATTGTTAATTCCCGAATGATTTTCATTTGCTTTTAGTTGTTAGTCAAGAGACCTCAGAATCCTTACTATTCCTTTATGCCTTGATGCCCGAAAAAGCATTTCATTATTATTACTTTATGATCTTAATTGCTATTTGTGATTATTTTGTAATTTAATCCGAATTGTGATTTCCCTCATTTCTTACAGTCTCCTCATTTTTCAGGTGAGGTGTTGCCATTAATTTGCAATCAATGGCTGACATGTGTCACATGTCTAGGAAACCATGTCTTCTGACCATGGCCATCTTATTTCGCTGAGTGTGGTGTGAAACCTGGGAGAAAAGGGTTGTTTTTGTTTGTTTGTTTTTAACCTCTGACATTGGATTTATGTAAACTTTTCCATACTGAGTTGAGGTTTGAAGAAATGCTCTTCCTGTTTTAGATACCTGAAATGTTATTCAGTGAAACAGATGGTGAAGAAAAATACAGTGACAAAAAAAGGAAAGAAGAAAAGAAAAAACACTCAGGTACTCTTTTGATGAAGTCGACTCTGGGTTTTATTAGTGAAATAATTGCCAGTCTCTAATATTACAACTTCCTTAACGATTCACGATGATTATAAATTTGAAAAATGTTAAGGTAACAAAGTTAGGTTTCTTTTAAGGAAAACCGTACTTTGAAGCTTTCTATATTTTTGAATTCGTGTTTATGTCGTTTTATATAGGACCTAGCACAGTATCTGTTGTTCGCAGCTAAGCAGTGAAACAGTTAGATGTTTGACCGAAACCGTAGGATGTTCTGCTTCCACTGTTACAGGGTCTTTGGCTGGTGGGCCAAGTTTTCACTTTCCATTCGATATGTCCTGTCCTCAGCTCATACATGAGAAAGTTCTGTGGTGTCTTTGGGCACTGACATAATGTTTTCTTAATTGTACTCTCATTGTTTTTTCCAGTTCCAAAATAATTTTGAATGTGGTCTTTTTTATATATATCATAGCACATTGTTAATTTATTTCTCTAATCATCTAGTCACCAAATAGTTACTGAACTCAGTTCACATTAGGTACTGGGCTGGATACTAGAGATGACTCAGGAGCTTATGGTGGAGTGAAAAGTAGCAAGAATTATGTTCTGTTATAAAAATAAACTCTGCCGTAGCGAGACAAATGATGGTGGGAGTTTATGGGAAGTGCCCTTGAGGGTGAGGCCTCTTACTGCCAGAGGTTACAGCAGACGGGCCCTGGCACACAGGCACTTGGGGCGGTGGGATCTGGTAAGAGTGAGTTGCGTGCAGGCATAGAACAGGCACTTGGCCGGATCTGCACGCCGCCCACTGGCTGGAGCATGGACATGTGGGTATTAGCTGGAAGAGGAGGAGGGGCTGAGAAATTTTGCTTCCAACTTGGGGGTGATGCGGGGTGATGGAGAGATTTTAGCGGAGACGTAACCAGAGTCTTGTTTCGGAAACAGAAGTTTCTGGGTCCATGCCTTTCTTCAGTTACTGGAAAATACGTCGGTGTGGGGAGGACCTGTGGAGGGACCGCTGAGGTCACCTGAGAGGAAGGAGTGGACCCGGGGCGCCAGGCCATGTCCTGGGGCGGGGTGGGGGTGGGGGGTTGGTTCCACCATGGCTGTGGCGTGCCAGGCAGGGGTTCTGGCTTCAACGTTGCTTCGAAGTGGACTTTCTGGACTGAGGCACGGAACACGGAAGGAAGTGGATGGAGACGGTGACAGGAAGATGGCGTGTTGAGTGAACGGCGTGCTGCGTCTAGTGGGGCCGCCTTCTCCGTTTTCTGGCTGCTGAAATCCTGCTGGTCCCTGCGTCAGTTGACAGTGGATACATGTTACTTGGTTTGATCCTTCTTTTCCGTTGAAGCAGCTTTTATTGTGCTTTCTTCTGGATTACATGTCATGTAGTTCTAACTAATTTATGTTATGACAGCAGATTTATCTTTCTTGCAGCAATAAAAGTGTTCAGAGGAAATATGTAACAGTGGAAGGGCAGAGACCACCGATCCTAAGTAATTCAAATCTGTAAGGAGAGTGGGAGCTTGAATAGTGAATAGATACGTAGGAATGTGTGTGTACCTTGAAGACAGACGATGTCTGCCACTTACAGTGGCGGGGGTGGAGATATGTGTGTGCGATAAGTACAGTTCATGTTGTTCTCGCTAATTCGTCATGGATCGTATGTATATTAAGTCATGTTTGTTTTTTCTTTCCAGTTGATCCCGATTTTCTAAAATCATTTTTATTAATCCATGAATCTTGTAAAGCATATGGTGCTACACCAAGCCGATACATGACCTTCTTACGTGTGTATTCTGCCATTAGTAGCAGCAAGAAAAAGGAATTATTAAAAAGACAAAGTCATTTGCAGGTACAATATTTTAATCAACCATTTCGTCTAGACACAGGGTATAAGGATTATATCACAGTCCTTGGTTGTGGCATATATTTAGTATAAATAACTACCACACTATATTACAGGTATTACAGGCCTTAAAACAGTCTCATCTACCTGTGGTTTTCACTAGGTATATGAAGGGTTTTGTAATTTTTTTGATTCAGTAATTATTCCTTTTCTTCACTGGGTGGCATTTATGTGCTTTTGATAGTTTCTGGTGATCTTTAAAAATTTCTTTAATGTGAAAGCATTTTTAGAAATTCAGCAATGTGTCTTAAAACATGGAGAGTAAGCTTTATAATAACCTTTAAAATTAAAATTATACCTCCTAAAATAATACTTTTTATCTCTGTCACTTAGTATATTATGAACAGTTTTCGTTCTGTAATTACAGAGCTTCAACTTAAATGTGACATTAAAATGCCAGCCTTGGAAGTTGTCTGAGAGCATTTCCTTTCCAAAGTCATAGAGTCTCTGTTAGTGTAATAAACTAGGATCCCTCCCAATTGACAAAAAGTTATCTTTGTCTGTCTCTGTAATGATACACTTTCATTCGTAGCAAGCCACTAACTATAAAGGTCGTTATACTGATTTAGTTCTCTTTGGTGCTGTGGGTAAATTACTTAAACTCATTGACCTGCAACTTAATTGGGTCAGTTGTATGTGAGCGTATTCAGTAAAATATATATGCAGAGAGCCAGCCTGATGCTGTCCTCTGTGTTGGGTGCTCAATAAATACTGTTGATTTTTCCTTTTTGCTGTTACTATCTCCCCAAATCTTCTCATTTGTTAGGTGACAAAAACCTAACTCCTATTATAGGAGAGCGGGCATTTTTTTCATGTCCATTCCTTCATTATTCATGGGCAATGGGGCATTTTTTTCATGTCCATTCCTTCATTATTCATGGGCAGTGGGATGGGGTAACATAATGGCTAGCCCAGGGTCAAATGTCCTCCCCAAGGAATAGGTAAGGTATTTTGATTCAGAGCCCACCAGAACCCTATGTGAGGCAGTCTCTTATAAAAAGGTAGCTACTGGACAGACAGAACCAAATGATGTCCAGGATAAGAAGACTAGTCCTTGAGTCCTTTTACTCAGTGAGACTGAACAATGGAGAAGGTTTATGGACTTTTTCCTTGCTCTGTTTCCTCTCTCAGAACGCAGTGGGTAAAAATCCTGGTCTTCAAGCTGCCAAATATGTGTCGATCTGTTCACGTTTACTGTGATACTATAAAATCTGACTCTGTGTGTGTGTGTGTGTGTGTGTGTGTGTGTGTGTGTGTGTGTGTGTGT